CATCTCACCAAAATTCTTTTTTGCACATGAACTCCAGAAAAAGGGTGATATTGATATTTAGAAGATACGTTCATGTGAAAATTTAGTAGATATATTCACTAAAAAGCTTCCAACTACAACATTCGAGAAGCTGGTGTACAACATTGGAATGCGTCGACTAAAGGATCTTCAGAGTTAAACTAATGAGGGGGAGCAATTGATCAAAGAGGTATTGACATGCTGTATTCTTTTTCCTTCGTCCAGGTTTTGTCCCACTGAGTTTTCTTGTCAAGGTTTTAATGAAGCAATTTTAATCTATGCAATACCATTTTCAGGTACACAAGAATACTATACTATTTTCCCTTCGCTAGGGTTTTGTCCCACTGGGTTTTCCTTAGCAAGGTTTTTAACGACGCATATTCTTAGTATAGTTTTGTGGACCCCAAAGGGGAGTGTTATGTATATATCTGTCAATGTGTGGGGTCCTCAAAAATGATAACATTTTGAAGCTTACCTGGGAAGACATCTTTGGTGGCGTACAGAGGAAGCTCACTTCTTTCCTTACACTGAAAGCTTTACTATGGCTTATAAGAGAAGCCAAAAACTGAGCCTATATAAGGCAATGTACATGTACTACTTTAGATATACAAGACTTGAAAAAGTTTCTCTCTCTCTCTTTCGTTCTCTTTCTCTCTGAACAGCTAGTTTCATCTCTCAAATAAATATACAGTTTTTTTAAAAAATATATATATATATAGAAATATTTGGTTTCCTTATGCCATTATTAGTACTACCTCCATTATTTCAATAATAGTAATTTAAAATAGTTGTGAAGAGAGAGACTAAATATTCATTACTTCCAGAAAGAAAGAAAAATTGTAAGCAGCACAACATGGGAGGCAGAAACAGTAAAAGCAATGGCAAGAACGACAACTCCTCCTCAAATAGGCTGCCTGCAGATATCATTTATGAGATACTAACAAGAGTGCCTGCTAGCTGAATCACTTGTTAGATTCAAACTAGTTTGTAAGTTGTGGAAAACCATCATCTCTCATCCTAATTTTATCAGCTCTCATCTTCACATCAGATTTATCATCCGATCGCTTGCTTCTTTCGGATTTCCATGACGATTTTCCTATACGTATTCCCAAAGGTTACCCCGATATTGTTGCCTCTACTGATGGTTTATTACTTCATAAAGGTTTTCGAGACAAAGGTGATGGTTCGGAAACAAAGCTGTGTGTTCATAATCCTGTTACTGGAAGACAAAAGTCGTTACCAACAAATTTAAATCATAATGTGATTGGGGGTGACAGATTCTTGATAGTACATGATGCTTCAATTCAAAAATATGAAGTGTTCTTTTTTATTTATGTTAGATGTGAAAGCCAAGTGAAGATCAGCATAATTAGTATAGACAATGATGGAGAACAGGGGAGCGTCGAATGGAGGGAATTGATCAGTCCATCCGCATTTAGCCTGGAAGGAGTTTTCAAGCCCATCAATGTGAATGGAATATTGTATTGGTTAGCAGACACTACTTATTATGATCATAGTGATCCTGTGGACATTGCTAAAGAGGAATTTAAGCAAGGAATAAGCTTGCCATGTCAACCAAAATCAGATTTCTATCACCAACTCATAAATTGCAACTTGTTAGAGATGAAGGGATTGATTTACTTCTCGAACCCGGCCACTGATATGGAATTTGAGTTATGGATGTTGAAGGATTTGGGTAATCATAGTTGGGTTAAGAAATATAAAATAGGTCTTGTTTCAATTGTTGGTAAGCCTAATAGTCTGTCATCATTTTACCCAATTCATGGATTGATGATCATTCTACATGATTCATATAATTATATGATGGATCTTTTAGGACATGGTGTTGATGATGATTCAAATGACATGGATCTTTTAGATGGAATGGGTTGGTACTTGAGGAGCCAGGAGTTACAAGCAATTGTCGGTGAAGTGAATATATGTTGTTATCATTATTATTCACATGACCCGATTACTCTGGTCAAAAGTCTAGTTGGTTGGAAATAATTTTCTTTTCTTTTTCCAAAGGTTTTCTGGTGCTGTTTTTCGATGCAGTTGTGAGCCTGTTTTTGTAATAGTCTTCTGATATCTCATCTATCACCACTCCGTCAGTTTTCATTTTATTATTATTAGTTTCTTTTTCATTCTGAGCTCCTATATTTGTTGCTATGCATATTAAAAGATATATCTCTTCACCGATATTGTGAACCTGTTTTTGTAATAGAGCATTCTTTTCCTTTCTTTTCTCTACTCATTTCGAAACTTTGACACCTAAGATGTGGCAGAAAAGATCCAAAACCATTACCTAATGAGAGATACTTACATTTGAAACCCTATGACATAGAAAAATATGATAGGGCTCAAATTTTCTTTCTAAAGGTAATAAATTTTATTGAACGCACCAATCAACTTGAAATAATAAAAGGTGTTGTATAGTGAATAGAAATTACCTGATGAGAAGAAAAAATATATGGGTTTTTCAAGTAAGTCAATGAGACAATTAACGAATTTTAAAAGCTTATGGACTCAAAGTTGAAATAAATTTGTTCAATTTAATGTTAAAAACAAATCAAAAGACATAAGCCGATCCAAAATGGAGAAGCAACCAATAGTGAGTCCTGTATGAGAAATACACATAATATATGGTTAAAGTTATTAACTCTAAAGAGATACCTCAATCACTCACATCTTATGATTTTAAGAGTTCTCCTAATCCTCTTCAAGTCGCTTTTGTGCAATCAATGGACATCGCTAAAGAGGAATTCAGACAAGGAATAAGCTTGACATGTTAAATACATGTAGATTCTGATCATCTATGGGTCGGACAGATAAATTGCAACTTGTTAGAGATAAATGGATTGATCTACTTCTCAAACCCCGCCACTGATATGGAATTAGAGTTATGGATGTTGGAAGAGAATTTGGCTAATCATATTTGGGTTAAGAAACACAAAATATGTCTTTTCTGAATTTTTGATAAGCCTAATTTTCTGTCAAGTTTTTTAGTGAGTGGTTTATTTTAAATACACGAAAAAAAAAAATACCCAAAAAAATAAATAAATAAATAACCGGACCTCACAGCGGGTCCGCTGGTTTGAGAATTTTTGCCATCCTATACGAATTTTGGACCGCATTAGCATGAGTTGCTTCAAAACGGCAACATTAGGACAGACCAGAAATTCTACAGCAGAGGATCCGTTCCTAGGGCGGTGGTATCATTGTCTAAATTTTTTCTCATGTCATAATAAAAACAAAAAGAGAATAGAAAATGTTTTAAAAAAAGGAATAAAATAGAAGAATAATGATAGGGAAAGGAAGGAGAAAACGCAAGAAACTTAATTTGACCTGACTAGGGGTATAATTTTTTCACTCTTTTTTTTTTTTTTTTCCTTTGGAGTATAATTTTATTTTATTTAAAGATTAACAATATATAATATTATTTTTTTTATTAGCAAAAAACACACTCACCTACTTACTTTTTGCTCTTATGGGACTTGAACCTTTAACCTTCTATTTTGGAAGATAGGAAAATACCATCAGGCTACAAGACCCTTGATATTTATAATATTAATAGAAGCCGTAGAAAAAGAAAAAGAAAAAAAAATATAAAACCATTCACTGAAACAACAGAGTTCTTCAAACAAAAGTATTTTATATAAAGAAAATTTTCAACAAAAATGATACTTATACACAAATAACTGATATAGAAAGAAAAATGGTGAAAAAGATGAGGATAAAATGGTAATTTTGTCTAAAATTGGTGCATTAAATATGCCAGACAAGATTTAGGAAGAAAATTAGGTTATTGTCATGTTAAACCATCATTTTTCTATAGATAAAAAAGTTCTTTAGTTATGGTACAATAAAATAAGAAATGATGCATTAATTAGTTTAGGAATTTTTTTGTCATTCACTCAAAAAAAAAAATATACAGAAAATTAGAGTGCTAATATTGGCTCTCTAATTTTAATGTAATTATAGATTGTTATTGCTAAAAAGTCTTGTATGCATAAATATTGTGTAGCCATTGGACCAGTAGGCCATCTGATATAACTTCTACTAAGGTCAGCCATTCAAATTATTGTGGGCGTTTGTTGGTGCATATGTATGAATATTTATTTTGAATAAATAAATAATGTGGAAAGATCAAGGAAAGATCCAATATGTAATATTATGGTTGCTGTCAAATTCGAGTGCTCCTTAGGTTTTCATCATTATATCTGTTGTTTTCCCTTTTTTTCATCATCATATCAATTCATACATTTTTTTTTTTTGACGAGAAAGTTGAATGGAATTTTTTTATTATTATAATTACAGATTGGCTTCTAACTATATTTCAGCAAACAAGTTTGGCTTTAAGGACAACAAAAACTATAATACCATCCCAAAGATGGCACTAACAACCAAAAGAAACTCCATTTCTGAGCGTTGACAGAAATAGCTGACGAAAAAAAAATTGTAGAAAATATTAAGAAGCAATTCACACAACAACTTCACTACCTTCAACAACTGCCTCTGTTTTCTAACATAAAGGGCCGATCCAGGAAGTTTCCTAAAGGTTATCTTTATTCCTAGAAGAGAGAGAAAGAATAGTTAAATCTAAAGATATTAGGCGAGAGAGGACCATAAATATGGGGGGATGGAGGAGAGTTACTTCTCATACAGCAAAAAGTCTCCCAGTCACACTCCTCAATGCGTCCAAGGCATGCTTTTCTTAAAGCCCATTGATTAACGAGCAAGTCTACGCACTTCTTAGCAACTACCAAGTCGTCTCCTTTAAATTGACATGCTTTGTGTGAGGTGACCTTGGGAACAGGTTGTTGATACTTTTCGTTTTGAAAACTATAAGTATAAAATTTATATGGAGCAATGTGGATCATGACAGATGATATTAGAGTTTCATTTTGAAAACTAAAGTATAATATTTATATGGAGCGGTGTGGATCATGACATGAATCATGACAGATGATATTAGAGTTAATCTCAGTCTGAAATGGGAAAGAGTTCACAAATTCATGTGGTTCACACCGGGGACGGAAGACTGTGATGTCCCACATCACCAGAGAGTTTTGGCACTAGTCCGTTGATGATTCTTAAATGCGTAGACGTTCATCGAAAATCGTGAACATAGAAGTGTGCAAAGTAGACAATAGTTCTTTTTCAAATGGTTAGGTTCTTTTCTCGGAATTTATACTTGATCAATATCAAAAAGCAGAGAACTTGGGAATGCTAAAATGAGGCTATTCTTGTCATTGAAAATCCCTCCCTTTCTTTTCAAAACTTCCCTCAATTTTCTTCATGGAAAAACCCACAAGTCTTTAGGCCTCTTCCTGGAAGTTTAAGCTTTAAAGTCATTCCAAAACCCCTATAAAACCCAAGCCATTTTTGACACAATACTTAGTCTTGGTCACACGCAATTTTTTTCATGACCTTACTCTGTTTCTTCCATCCAAAGTTCCACTTTCCTTCTTGAACTTCAAATTTTCATACTCATTTTGTGTTCCATTTGATCATCAAGTTTCTTTAAACTGGTTTAAAGGGTTCATTTCCTTTAACATAATCTTCTACTTCTCTGTAAATTATTGCTTTGATATGGGCAAAGGAGGGCAGGACTACTACCTTAAGCAAGAACTTGCAGGTCCAAGAGCTTCCAACCATGAAAATTTTCCTGCATGGGCTAAAGAAGTTGAAGAATGCGAAAAAAGGTATGAAGCCAATAAAGGGTCAGGCTTGAATTCTTGGGATGTCAAAAAACGTCGAGAAATTTATGGTTACAATGAACTGGACAAGCATGATGGACCATCTTTTTGGGATTTGGTTCTAGACCAATTCAGTGACACTCTGGTTAGGATATTACTTGGGGCTGCAATCATCTCTTTTGTGCTTGCTTGGTATGGCGGTGGTGGCGAAGGCGGATTGACGGCCTTTGTGGAGCCTCTGGTCATTTTCTTGATCTTGATTGTGAATGCACTAGTTGGGGTGTGGCAAGAGAGCAATGCTGAGAAAGCACTGGAAGCTCTCAAGAAAATTCAATCAGAGCAAGCAGCAGTAATTAGGGACAAGAAGAGAATCCCCAATTTGCCCGCGAAAGAGCTTGTGCCGGGTGACATTGTTGAGCTCAAGGTTGGAGACAAGGTGCCTGCAGATATGCGTGTGCTAAAACTGATAAGCTCGACGTTAAGGATTGAACAAGGGACACTGACAGGGGAGAGCGAGGCGGTCAACAAGACTAACAAAGCCGTGGCTGAGGATGCTGACATCCAAGGCAAAAGATGTATGGTGTTTGCTGGGACAACTGTGGTGAGTGGGAATTGCATTTCATTGGTGACACAGACAGGTATGGGAACGGAGATGGGAAAAGTCCACAGACAAATTCATGTCGCGGCTCAGAGTGAGGATGACACTCCATTGAAGAAGAAGTTGAATGAGTTTGGAGAGGTCTTGACTAAGATAATTGGGGTGATATGTGCATTGGTTTGGATTATCAATTTTAAGTACTTCTTCAGCTGGGAGTATAATAACGGGTGGCCTAGAAATTTTAAGTTCTCATTCGAGAAGTGCACCTATTACTTTGAGATTGCAGTGGCGTTGGCTGTGGCTGCAATTCCAGAAGGCCTGCCTGCAGTGATCACAACATGTTTGGCTCTTGGCACACGGAAGATGGCTCAAAAGAATGCTCTTGTGCGAAAATTGCCTAGTGTTGAGACTTTGGGTTGCACTACTGTGATTTGCTCTGATAAGACGGGTACATTGACCACTAACCAAATGGCGGTGGCAAAGCTTGTAGCTATGGGGATCACACCGGGTAGGCTTAGAAATTTTAAGGTGGACGGGGCTACTTATAATCCTTTTGATGGCCAAATTCATGGCTGGTCAGTTGGTGATATGGATGCCAATCTTCAAATGATTGCGAAGATTGCTGCTGTATGTAACGATGCTGGTGTGACACAGTTCGAAAACAAGTATGTTGCCAGTGGAATGCCTACTGAGGCTGCTCTAAAGGTAAAGAGACTTGAATGCTTTGCTTCCTATTTGGTACTTTGATTTGTTCTGATGATTAATAATGGTATGCATATTCTGTCACCAAATATGGTGTCTTTAGCATAGTATATAATACTACTGTACTAGGTCCTGGTGCACTGAGAGGCTGCAAAACCTAGTGAAGTTGATTGATGATGCTTCAAATTTTCTCCTTGTTTCAGGTTCTAGTTGAAAAAATGGGCCTACCTAAGGAATTTGATGATCAAATATGTTCAAGTCACAGTGATTTGTTACGTATGTTAGAATCAAGCGCAAAATTTCATTTTTACAAGTTTATTTGATTCCTTTCAGAAAATAAAATTGGAGATTTATATTGTTTACTTGCATTTTGTTATGTTGTTTAAGGGTATTGCCAAAAATGGAATCAAATTGAACGACGAATTGCCACTCTTGAGTTTGATCGTGAGAGGAAGTCCATGAGCATTATTGTCAGCTCTCTATCGGGAAAGAGGTCATTGCTGGTGAAGGTATCTCTCCCTATACCTGTGTATGAGTGTGTCACTTAAAGATACACTTACTTATTTTGTAGATTTATAATAGAATGCACAATTAGATTGATAGTCTGAATTTCAAAACTAGAAAGTGATCTGAAGAATTTAAGGGCCAGTTTCAGACACAGGGGACTCTTTTCCAATTTTCTAAAAACTATTTTCTATTTATAGAATTCTTTAAAACCAAACAATGCCTTAGGTATGGAGGTATTTTAGTATCAAATTTGGAAGGGATGTCTGGGGGCATTCATTCACCACTTGCTACTAACTGATCTCTTTTTATTGGAGAAATATTTTCTACAATTCTAACAAAAAGTGCTAACTCCAGGGTGCGGTAGAAAATGTATTGGAGAGGAGCAACTCCATTCAGTTGCTTGATGGTTCTGTCATGGAATTGGATCAAAATTCAAGAAACCTTATTTTGCAATCCCTCCATGAAATGTCAACGGCTGCCTTGCGCTGTTTGGGTTTCGCATATAGAGATGAGCTACCTGAGTTTGCAACATACGATGGTGAGGAAGATCATCCAGCTCACGAGCTTTTGCTCAAACCATTGAATTATTCATCAATTGAGAGTAAACTCACCTTTGTTGGATTGGTTGGATTGAGGGTGAGTTGTAACAATGCCATAATTTACATTATCTAATTACTAATTCTATAGAAGATTTTTAGTGAACTGGTAGTGACTATCGTGTCAACAAATCTTCCTAGGATCCCCCTCGAGAAGAGGTTCACAAAGCAATCGAGGACTGCAAAGCAGCTGGGATTCGAGTTATGGTCATCACGGGAGACTATAAAAATACAGCAGAAGCTATATGCCGTGAAATTGGTGTATTTGAACCCGAAGAGGACATTACTATGAAAAGTTTGACTTGTAAAGAGTTCATGGATCTTAATGATATGAAAGCTCATCTGAGACAAATTGGTGGGCTTCTGTTCTCGAGGGCTGAGCCAATGCACAAACAAGAGATAGTGAGGTTGCTCAAAGAAGATGGAGAGGTGGTTGCCATGACCGGTGATGGAGTGAATGATGCACCTGCCTTGAAACTAGCTGATATCGGGATTGCAATGGGCATTACTGGGACAGAGGTATGTTTTCTTCTTATAGGATTAAAATTCTTGTACCAACAGGAAAGACAGTTGAAGTTGCATATGATTCATTGGAATGGTCGTGGGCTGAGGATCATTGTTCTTTAACGGGGACTGACTTTGCACTTCTCTCTTTAGTCTCATACAATGCGTTCTTGTCAGATTTTTGTTGTCCATTACGATGCTTATATGTTTAGCATTGTTACAATGTCTCTCCTTGTCTGCAGGTTGCTAAAGAAGCTTCTGACATGGTGTTAGCAGATGATAATTTTAGTACAATAGTGGCTGCTGTTGGTGAAGGGAGATCAATCTACGACAATATGAAAGCTTTTATCAGGTTTCCTCCATTTTCTCTGTGTTCTCTATAGCTCTCTGCAAATGTAATCAAAGAATAAGCTTCGCTTGTGGCTTTGTATTGGGAACTATTTTTAGTATTCTTTACTCAAATTAAACGTCAGATGGTAATGCATGATAAAAGCTGAACTGATGTGAAAATGATCACAAAACTCATATTGAGCATTGTTTCACCTTATTGCAGGTACATGATCTCCTCAAATATTGGAGAGGTAGTGTCCATTTTCCTAACAGCAGCTTTAGGGATTCCTGAGGGTCTGATCCCGGTTCAGCTCTTGTGGGTCAACCTTGTCACTGATGGACCACCGGCAACAGCCTTAGGATTCAATCCACCAGATAGGGACATCATGAAGAAACCCCCACGTCGAAGTGAAGACTGCCTCATCACTGCTTGGACTTTATTCCGTTATCTGGTATTGTGATCTACAGCTTTCACCTTTGCACAAGAGTTGCACATTAATCTGTAGTGATAGCAGTTTCTCTACATTCCCCTACTCTAATCTGCATGATAATGTTATGTAATGAATGCACAGGTCATTGGGCTATATGTTGGAATAGCAACTGTTGGCATATTTATCATTTGGTACACACATGATTCCTTCTTGGGCATTGACCTCAGTGGTGACGGCCACTCTCTTGTGACAAACTCACAGCTTCTCGATTGGGGCCACTGCTCATCCTGGGAGAATTTCACAGTTTCGCCTTTTACAGCGGGGACACAGGTTTTCTCGTTCGATAATGACCCTTGTGATTATTTCAAGCACGGCAAAGTGAAAGCTACAACTCTCTCGCTTTCTGTCTTGGTAGCCATCGAAATGTTCAACTCTCTCAATGCCCTTTCAGAAGACTCTAGCCTTCTAACAATGCCTCCGTGGGTCAATCCATTTCTCCTTCTGGCCATGTCCATCTCGTTCAGCTTGCACTTTCTGATTCTGTACGTGCCATTTCTTGCTCAGGTGTTTGGTACGGTGGCCCTTGGCTTCAATGAATGGCTCCTGGTCTTGGTTATAGCATTTCCAGTTATTTTAATTGACGAAACTCTGAAGTTTGTGGGAAGGTGTACCAGCTGGTTTTCAGTATCACGCACAAGGCAATCTTTGAAGCCTAAGCTGGAGTGAAATACTTTGTGAATAGGTGGAGAAGCCCCAAAAATGCTGCCTTTCAAGCTTGGAATCTTTATGTCCTGTCACAGTTGAATCTTCTGTACTACTTGGGGTGGTTTGAACCTTGCTAAACTGTTTTCCATCCATTTTCTTTTGGTTTCCTAGTACTATTTCGTCTTCTAAGTTTGTCTAAAAGCTCAAATTTGATGCATATCGAATTCGGGCTTGTTATTTCTAGTAGCAACCTTTAGAAATCAGGTTATGTGGACATCTCGGCTGTTTTAAGAAGTTTATATCTTGTAAAATATAGGCATGCTTTAGAATTATCTTCCTATTCCTTTCCTTTCTTCACTGCTCCTTCAATCCAAACAGACCAAAACAACCTGTAGCTCCCAGAGCTACAGAACATAAGTAACCATGTTCCATTTAATATGTAATTACAAACAAGTCTTGATAACAAACCAAAGACATAAAGATCACGTATCAATAATCTCAGTAATTGTAAGTATCTAATATAATTCTGGACAACATAATCACAGGTACTAACAAAAAAAATATTCCTACACTTTTGAGCTTTGCATTCTACACTGTTGTACAACAAATTGCATTCTTCCCAAAACATCTTGATTATTCCAATTAAATGATTCTAAACATTACATCCGATAATTTTCTAACAATTTTCTTTTCCTCTTATCAACTAGTATTTAAAGTAAGCACCCAAAAACTATATCTTAACCTGAACTGTATTCTGACATGACAATATGGTTCAAAAGAAAAGGAAAATGATTTTTACCAATAAACAAGAGCATTCCAGAAAAAGGAGCATCATGATTAGTATTGGTTGAAATGATATTGGATTCTTATGTATTGAAGAGCTTCCTGAAAGGCCCATCTTTTCGGTCTTTTGCAGCTTCTGTTAGAGCAAGGAACCTCTTGAATCCGGTTGTAGCAGCACCTCTTCCAAGTGCAGCGGCTCTAGCTAGCACATCCTCTCGGGAAGCTATAACACCAGCTGAAACAGGATTGGTTATGGTAGGAGCGGCAGGGGCACTAGGAGCAGCTGGAACAACTGACTGAGCAATAGATGCTTGAGAAATCCCTGATCCACGTTTGTTAAAATCGTCCAGTATACTTTGCTGGTCAGTTTTTTTCAGGCCCTGGACAAGTCATATTTCAATCAAAACGAGAATGAAATAGAAGGTATACAATATAAATTCAACAAACACTAGTGCTAGCAATATCGAGACTCTGAAGGGGGAACAATAGAAATGCTTCTCACAACTTTCTGAATTGAGGCACCGTAACCATGCAAATATCAACCGATTCTTTCTTTTTTTCCCGAAGTGGGGGAAAAAAAGAAGATGTAATGAGATGTGATATATCTCTTTTCCAACTCACCAATGCCATGTATCAAGCATAATTCAGCAGAGCTACCCAAATTTAGAATTGTTCCAGACAAGAAAGCAATTAAAAATAAATTGAAGTAAATAAGAAAGGAAGAAAACCTAATTGTAACTAAATAACCAACTGAACAACACTAGCTAACTTAATACCCTTGCCCTAAACCTAAGGCTTTTGATTTGCCATCACTTCTCAGAACTTGGGGCCTTGTGTGGGTGTGTTCAAAACATATTTGCTTTAGTTTTGAGAATTTTTTAGCTACTCCTAATGATTTCTTTTTTCAAAGCTAAATTATTTGAAATAAATGCAAAAATAATACTGCAAACCATGTATTTTAGCAATCTAATAGATAAGCACAAGCTTGGGCATCCTAGTGCCATCTTTTCCCAAATCACTTTTTGCCTCAACAACCATAGCTGAACGTGCCTTAAATATATCCTTCTGAGAATGTAACAACAATTTATGAACATTTGTTCAAGAAAATTGGGGATCAAAGACAATTAAACAGACACCTTCAAACAATATACATAAATACATAAAATATGTGCAAAGAAAGTAAAGAAGATGCAAGGTTAGGCGAATTGTAAACAAACTAGTGGAATCTTTGTAATAAGATAATATCAAATAGGTTAAAAGAAATTTTCAATAGGAAGGTTATTAAGTCAATATAAGAGCAGAATGTTGGACACTAAAGAAGACGCAAGAACAATGCATTCACATTGTTGAAATGAGAACGTTGAGACTGATAATAGGAGCAACTTTAAGACATAAGATAGTAATCAAGCTGTTACAAAAAGATTAGGTGTGCCACCTATTAGTGAAACAATAAGAGAAAGTAGCCTTAGATGGTATGGTCATATACAACATAGGTCAGAAAATACAATGTTAAAGAAAGGAAACTAGTTAATTTAGAAGGTCAGAGGCAAAGAGGAAGAACATTACTGACTTGGGATGAAGTCACATATAAAATAAAATTACCCTTTAAAAAGTTACATATAAAAAGAGAAGTGACTTTTAATAGAAAAAAATGAAAACAGAAAATTCACACATCTGACCCTGTTTACCAGACCAAGGATGATGATGCTTGATAAGTATAAAAAAATTGAAGTCTAAGAACCTGTTTAGTATATATTTTTACCCTCAAAATCATATAATAACATTATTTTCAAGATATTGTGTACAGAATAAAAACGTTATTACTAGTGCGGATCAGCATGCACTAGGTGCTGGGCAGGCGGGAAAGACTGGTGATAGACCTAACACTTGACATTGTATTGCACAAAGTGGCTACCCCCATTCTCATACCAACATTCTCAGGAATGTCAACCTATGCCTTTTACCATTGCATCGAGCAATGATCCTTGTGTCATTTACAACATAGAAAAGATTCATTATACAACAATAAATGTCACTTAAAATAGACTGTCGATTTGACAACCATCTTACTATCATAATTGACCGTCAAAATCAATGAAGGAACAGAAACCATATAATGGTCTCACAAGGATAAGTCCAAACTTGTAATGTCAACTTGTGCTACTAAACATTGTTGCTTATCAATTGAAATTTTGAAACATCAAATAATCATTTCTTCAAACCCAAGCTTCACCACCACCATAATACACCAAGGGGGACAATTCACACAAGCTGAGGATGGTTAAGCCACCGATGGTGACTCCGAATAGGTGGACAAGGCCCAACCATCCTGAGTTTCCGATTCATACTCCCAAAACAGAAAGCAAAGGAAACAAAATCTTTTTAAAAACTAAAGTAATATAATTGTATAAATGCATACATATTACCGCCATGTCACTGTCCATATGCTTTCACTGTTGTAGAATTCTCATAAGCAGCATTAAACCCTCACGAATAGCTGTTTGGGGATTTTTTAGGTTCAAATATTTGAGATAAGATGGGTTCCATTTTTTCTTTTTCTTTTTTTCTTTTTTTTTTTTTTTTTTTGATAAGTAAAAAATATATTAGAAAAACGTTCAAAAGAGGAACGCGTCCCTAATACACAAAAACAAAAGAGCAGAAGTCAAACCTACGAACCAATAGAGTCCAAGAGAACAAAAAAATCATCAATCGAGGAGCAAGCGCTGCCTCTTACATAACAGAAAAGAGAGCGAAGAATATGAGACTTTAGGTTTGCTAAAGACGATTCCTTTCCTCCAAAATTTCTGTTATTTCTCTCTCCAAATACACCACCAAACACAGTGTGGGGAGACCCTCCAGAAATCACGAGCATGACCAGTAACAGGGCATCTTCTCCAAGCGTTAATTAATTGAAAAGAATGCTTAGGCATTACCCACTGAATGCCAAAAATATTGAATATGAGATTCCAACAATCAGACGCAACAGGACAATGCATAAGAATATGGTTCACGGACTCACCATCAGTTTTACAGAGACAGCACCAGTTAACAATGGTATTACCTCTCTTGCACAAATTATCCAATGTTAGAATTTTTCCCCAGGTAGCAGTCCAAACAAAGAAGGCGACTCTAAGAGGAGCTTTAGAGCGCCAAATACACTTCCATGGGAAATTGTGTCCAATAAAATTAGACAAACACAAGAACATGGATTGAACTCCGTATCTACCATGAAGAGAGGGGGTCCACAAAATGTCATCACAACCTCTGCCAACATCCTTCTGTCTATACAACAGGTCCAAAAAGACGCACACTTCTGCTATCTCCCAATCCTGAAAAGAACACCTAAAACACACATCCCACGTAACCCCACTGTTATCAAGATGATAACAGTCAACTACATAAGCATGCTTATTCTCGGCAATGCAAAAGAGACGAGGAAAGGAATGAGACAACAACTGATCACCACACCATAAGTCTTCCCAAAATCTAACATTCGTACCAATAGGAACCTTGAACCGAATATGGGTGGAAAACACATCCCAACCTTTCCGAATGAACTTCCACAACGCCTCCGGTAATAAATACAGGACGAGAGGACCAACCTCCACTCTCCTCCCCGAAACGACATGAGATAACTCTTCTCCATTATTGATGACGCTCTTTATCGAACCTCCATAACCACTTCCCCAATAAGGCTCTATTAAAAGGGACCAACTTCCGAATGCCTAAACCGCCAAACTTCAAAGGTTTGCAAACTTGCTCCCAATTAACAAGATGATACTTAAACTCCTCTCCTTAAGATCATTAAACAGATGGATGGATGTCCCTTCGTGGAAATATGATAAAATTGGAATGATTGATACATGAAACAGAAGGATGGATGAATATGATAGCAATTGCTGGTGATGAATATGTAATGGTTGTTTGGGAGTGATGGTGATGGTAGGTGCATCTTGTTTGTGGGTGATGGTGGTGGTCGGTTGTGTGACTGCATTGTTTGAGATGAGAGGAAAGTCTTTGTTACATAAGGTGATGAATGCACAAGGAGTGTTTTGAGATCAGGAAAGTTGATTCATTTTGTGAAAATATTCCTATGGTTGAATAAAAAATTTGAAATTCTTCACACCGGGTGTGCTTTGTGTTCAGTAGTAAGTAAAAGTTTAAGTGAAAGTTTTGATTCTATTTAAAGTGAAATTCTTGAGACTTACAAAGACTCTTTCACTTCAAATTTTGATTCTATTTAAGTGAAAGTTTAAGTGACATATAAAGTACATTATCAAATAGACTAAATTGAACAATCACTTAATTTCTTCAACATTGTAAGTCTCAAGAATTGGCTCATAACTCGAATAGTTTCTAATAGCTCCATTGACTTCTTTTTTTCAACAAGAGAAAAAGAAGTCATGTAACTCGGCTCTGACCAATCTGATTTCAGGTTTTAGATTTCAAGGGGCATATGGGGAATTTTTCTGACCCTTGGTTAAAGTCAACAGATAAGTAAAGGAGTAGTGATGATTGGCAATTACCTTAAGCTCCAGAATCCGCTGAAACTCCAAAGGTGTTCCCTCAGGTAGCAGTGCACGATATGTATCTGCCACAGAATCAACTGGGGACAGTATAACCTGTATGATGTAGACGATCCTTAAAAAAAGCAAAAGAAAAGAAAAGAAAAGGAAAACCCAACACTGATTAGATCACTCACCTTCAAGAGCGCTTCAGCTTTGCTCATCTCACGACTTACGTATTTTATGTAGCTAGCAGCATTTGATGTCTGTTTATAGAAATAAACAGAAATCGTAAAAATCCATGTTTTCACATAATGGTGATGGCATAGCAAAAAATTTGAGAACTGTTCTATTTGAAAACCATAACATCCAAAGGAATAAACATGATCACCAAATGAGTGAAACTTCTTTCCTTAAAATTGTTTCTAGATAGTACTATGCTTTCTTTCCCTACCAACACACTTTATCTCTAGTCATAAATGCTGACCAAAATCCTCATATCAAGAAATTCTCAAAGGGCAAAATAGAGACAGTAAATTTTACTTCATCTCAACAGAAGAAGCACATCCCAGCCATTTTATAAAATTCTTTTTCTTTTTTCTTTTTCTTTTTTTCTTTTTTTTTTTTTTTTTCTCATTCTGCTCAATATAAGGTTGTTTTCCCAGTGAAGGAAGAGGCAATCAAGCTTTTCCTCACCAATTTAACCTCTGATGAGTCTGACCTGACCAGACCCCTTCTTGCGATGACTTCAACTAGAATTATCACTTTTTTAGTTTTTATTGCACAAGACAAAATAAAATCTATCTTGCTTTCCATCAACACTAACAGTAATTTCAGCCAAATGCATCTATGTTGATTTTCTCCATTCCGCTAGCTCAAAGTCCTCATTTTTACTTGCAGTTTATTAAGCTTCTACAAAGAATTATGTTTTAGCCTACTGATAATTTTTTTTTGATAAGTATAGCCTACTGATAATTCAAAAGAAAATGCATACAGCTCAAATCTAGGGCTCTCCCCCACTGAGTATCACAAATCAAAACCATCTCATCAGCAAACAAATACAGCATCGGATAGCTTCTGGTACATGCTGACTAAGTTAAACAAATTCAATATCAAAAAACTCTAATGAAAACCCTAAATAATTCAAAACAAAATTTAGAAAAAGAACAAGGAACAGGGGAAAAGAAGGTAAAGAATATAAACTAATTTTTTAAATAATAATAAACACGTGTCAGATGGCCAATGAAATGTAGAAATCCTAAAACTATTTCAATCTATCTTTTCGGTATTTAGCTTCCACTTCTAAGATTCTCAAATGAAATCTCATAATTTTTCTCTCTCTCTCAGCCCATCCATTTATTTCTATCACACAAGTTTAGGAGTAATAGATTAGTCTCTAATTTACTATGCCGCATTCTTTGTAGTTCCAGGGGCGCAAGGAATTATTTGAGCAGCATGATTTAAAGAACCTAAACCATATTTCATAGAGTGGTGGAACAATGACAGCAAGTATCAGAAACAGGTTTCCTGCAATTTAAACACGAAATCCATAAGGATATCAAAAGGTCAGATGAATTAAAAACCTCCATAACACAGACTGCCGGCGGGTGGCCGAGGGGGACCACCACTTTAAAAGTTGGACAAGTTTCAATTATTGACAAAGAAAAGTGACACCCTAAAACTAAGAAGCTAGCGTTGCTTGAGAACTGGGCACAAGAATGGCTCAACTTATGGCCTTAAAAAGCAGTTGTCACAAGAAGCATACAACGCTTACTTTGAGTCTGCTTGTAAAGATAAAAACAATTTTGAATGGAAGAATACGCAATGGACATGCAGCAATGCTACTGTGACTTGCACCAACAGAGTCCTTGATGAGTATTGGGCAAGGCAAGAAGCTTGGTGGTGATGAAAGTGAGTATGAAGGAAGAGATTTCTATCATTACAATTCAAAATCAGCATTCATTGCCACAAGGATTAAATTGATTCTCATCAACTGTGACCAGTTGAGTCCAGATCGTAGTTCTTCAGTGGAAAGGTAAATGATTTTCTGGCACAAGACAAATGGTTACTTCACATTACTTTGAGCAAACTAGTGAATGGCACAGGGAGAGGCGGCTTCCAATCCTTATAGGAACTGTAACAGTAATTTAGAATAATTTATATAGAACAAATTTATCAAAATAAAAGAAAAAATCTAAGCAGACATTAGCCAATGATATGGTAAAAATGTGGGCTGTCAAGCATGAAAAAAATGATGTCAATATGGTGGCAGTCGCCTTGCAGAAATAAAGTAGTTTAATGCGTGGAATTTTTAGTATGAAATGGAGTGCGTATACCCGAGATCCATTTTAAAGGATCTGGAGTGTGATTTTGAATCCAAAGGTAAAATGAGCCAGAAAAATTCTTCTTCAAAAGTTTGGTCTCAGATTTGGGTCGAATTCAGGTATAAGACCATAAGCAAAATACTCGTTCAGATCATAATAACCATTTGATATGAAAACAAATTCCAAAACTACACGTAGTGCAAAAAACCTTTTACTCAAGTTTATGGATATTTTATCAGTAAATGAAAAGCTTCAGGCCTGGATGGTCTATTAAATTCGTCTCATAATGGGATTTGAATACAAAATCCAACTTATAATATAAATCTGAAGCGGATTTACATGGATTTGCTCCAGCTCCACTCCATTTCATGCCCTAGGATTCAATGCAAACTCAACCATATTAACGGCAAGCTTGGATAGCGTGTCCCAAGAAAGGATGTGCGAGTGGTTCAGTCAGTTTCACAACAAACTTAAAGGTTTCGCCATACTACTAGAGACAAAATTTGCTGTTTTTACCATATGATGCCTAGGAGCAATCCAGGAAACCAGAAGAAAAGCTCGCAATAGAGGACAGGAGGGAGAGTATCCATGCTTCCAGCACCAAGTAACATATGATAACAACGACGAGAATGCTAATGGTTTATAAAGCCAGGAAACGTAAAAGCATCAATTGTAGCCTACAAGTTTCAGTCATATTGAAAATTAGAAATGCTTGTATGAATATGCTATCTCACCTGTCTCCCAAGAGAAGGAATATCTAGAAGAATTGTCTTTACGGCCTGAGTATCCAACAACATCTGCAATAGCATCAGAAAATTAATTTCCATCAGAGTGACACTGATCAAAGAAATTATTTCCTGGTAAGAGTTTACACAACAATAAATAGTCGTGTAATGATCACTTGAAAGAAACACTTCTTAACTGCTTGCTGACGTGTTTTTAAATTACACATTTGAATGATAATGTGCATAATTTGGAAGGCATGAGAAAGAGACGAAGTATCATAGTTGTTAAAGGCTCAAGGAGCACTAAGGCGCCAAAGGCCTTCTGGAGCCTAAGCGCAAGGCGCGAGCCTAATCGAAGTAAGGCACGTGTATATAATAATGCATATTTAAACATATATTATTATATATAATCATAATCAAGCAGTAATTACAGTTAATGTAAGTAGTGAACCATAAATTTATGAATTTTGTCAAATATTTCACAAGGTTAAACAATACAATATATGATATAGAACCTTTTAATTTAGTAGTCATTAAGTAAGAAAATGAAATATACTTATCAAAAAAAAAAAAAAGTAAGAAAATGAAATAAATAAATGATTAAAAAATACAAGGCGTGCCTTTTTGAGCCTGGAGCCTACTAAAAAGCGTGAGCCTGAGGGCTTTATGTGAGCCTGATTGAAGGGGACCTGCCTGTAGTAGGTCGAGGCGCTCTAGCTAAGCCTTGACAAGCCTGGGGCTTTTTTGGAGCCTAGGCGTGGCTTTAACAACTATGCGAAGTATTCTTCTAACGTGCACTGAGGCATAAACCTCAAACTCTTAAGGTGCGATGCAATGACAAATATTCGTACCAAACATATTAAAAAGAGAAGAGAAAAAAAAAAGGCAGAAGTGTTCAGATCATTACTTGTTGGGCTCCAGTCTCTGATATAATCTTGCATTTGAAAATATTGAGGAAGAAACGTGGACCAAGAGATGATGCAAGCTGCATAAGTTCATCAGAAACAAGCATGAAGAGCTAAAAATAACATCAGAAGAGAGTTACTACAAAAGAATGTATGATTATCATGGACCTAGTTTGAAAGAAAACTTTAAATTTTACTGCAGTCAGCAGACAAAACACCATAAATTAGTGATTAATGAAGGAGAAGAGGATGATGATGCATTAGCTATTTTAGTTGGTCGCCAAACAATGATTTTTCTAAATGCTTGACATTCTATGTAAGAACCATAGCATTTTTGTGATTCATTGGTAAATATACTCTGATTCTCTATCAACCAGTTGTGTGAAAACTTAGAAGAATTATCTATGAACCTCACAACACAAAGAACTACATTGAAAAACTTGATGTCAATTTGCAATCACCTTGTCTAAGAAGAACTGGAAGTAAATGGGAGAAAGAAGGCTTCCAAGTACAGGAATACTACTTGTGAGGATCATATTTATGCCATTCACATACCTGCAAGAAAGTGCACATTTTTCGTAAGAAGATGCTCAGGAAATATTATTGAAGGTTTATAAATGTTCAAAAAGAAGATGCATCTTACTCTGATTGGTCACCAACGCTTTCAAGTGTACCCCATGGAACACGTGTCATTGCAGTCATTTCAGCATCAAATTTAGTTTCCAAACCGTGCACTAATGTTATCAATGCTTTCGTTATAACGGCTGAAAATTCATCCTGCAAAAGCGCATGGTTTCTGTAGAAGCAAACAGCAACCTTGCTACAAAAGAAAGTTTAATTATAACAATTTTTACCTGCACTTCAGACATATCCACCCCATCTGCTAATTGAGAATCTATTATTTTGGACACGTTTTCAGCCAATTCACCAGACTGTAAAAGGAATGCAATCCGAGTTACTATATCTCAAGTTAGTTAATAGTGTATCAATATAGCAAGAATTTGTCTGCACAAAACATGGTTGACCCTACAACTCATTCAATACTCGTGATATTGAATTCTACCAACAGAGAATAAACTTCAATAGCTTCAGAAGTGAAAATATAAGTTCCAAATGGGCAAAAATTCTTCAGTTTGACAGAACAAGACAACACATTTTGCAAATTGGTCAAAACAAATAAATGACAAAAGTAAATTAAGGATGGAAATACCATTGACTATCACCTCCAAAAAACTTCACAGAAAATATTTGGCAGATAAAAGAGAGGGGGGGGGGGGGGGGGGGGGGGGGGAGAGAGGAAAAAAAAAACACAAGATTAATGCAGGAATGGTAAACAAAAAGAATTTCATCATAGTTGCATAGTTCTAATTTGGCAGCAAGGCAGAGATGGAGGTCACCTCCTCCTCCCTCTATCTGTACTTTCTCCTTTTTTTCCAAAATTGTTTCCATGGATTAGAATAGGTAGCAGCCAAGCCCAGCATTTTACAAAAATAAAGAAATGCATTCAACACTTTGCTTTACTAAAAACATAACCTGGCTGGTCATCCAACCTGAAATAAAATGGAATAATCTGTTCCTTCATTACCATATCCCCACATAATGACAGTTTATTTCAAAGCACTTGATTCTCTGATGAAATAAAAAAATCATAAGAAATATATATTGCTGCATAACTATCAAAAACCATCTTCACAGGAATATCATTGAAAAATTCCAGTTATAACACAAGAAAATCCCAACGAAACCAGTGATAACCGGATAGCATGAAGAATGAAATACAATGACCCTGTCAAGAGATTCCTCTAGAGATCTCAATTAACAAAACGTTCTTATATATTCAAGATGGAATGATGCCCCAAATCGTGAAAGGGTGAGTATTTTGCATAAAATGCCTCAAGCCTCTTGCATATGTAATTGTAAACAATTCCATTTTAAATAATATTAACTATGCCACAAGCTTCATAGATCTTCATAATCATCATGTTTATCAAATTCACATTCAGATCCCTGGAACTCAGAACCATATGTTTTGATGACTAGACCAAGCTGCCACAATCTCCTAGTCCACTTATTATTCTATTCCCATTGCCCATTCTACTCTTCTTCCTTTCTTTTCTCTCTATCCAATCCTAACATCTTCAAAGGATCTTGTTGATGTTTGTTAGCACATCCTATACACGAATTATTGTGCCATTTTTGTATCAAGGGTTCGGCAAGAAAAATGCCCTATTTGTATGATATAACAGGATATATTATACAATACCGGCTTAAAAATGTGATCTCAAGAAACAATGGAGCAATCTCTCTTTGTCTTGAATTATTAGACAACATATCAAGATTGTCTTCTAATTTTAGAATCATATATATATAATGTATCTCAGTGGACCTTTTCTTATATACTGAGAAATCAATTGAAATTACAGCCGAGATTAGATTCCTTGCCCATAGTGTGGTGTTTCATGATAAGCCAGAAAGAATTCCAACAGCAAGCGCATATGCGGTATACCATTTAGGTCAGGATTAGCTAAAAAAGCTTATATAGATTACTTGATTAAAAATTAGAATGTGATACGATCGTTTGCAATGCAAGACAGAATATGGTCTTACTCAGTTTAGATAATACATGACAGTATGAAGCATTCTCTCACTAGTTTCAATTCATTTAAGAGTATTTGATATTCATCAACCATGTAACATCACATCCCTACTTATTGGCACTGGTCTCTATGGGTTATCATTCTTTTTTTTTGCCTCAAAATATTATTATCCTATTGACTTCTATTGATTTTTCTCCTTAGTAATATTGCCTCAGAAAAACATAAAATAAGAGAGCAAACTAAAACATTATCAAATTCACACCGCAAATTACTACAATTCCAAAAACCAACTCACCGTTTTATGGCAATACTCAGCTGTATTCACAATATAGCAGATCACCCTTTCGTCCTTGTCAGATGTCTGCATGACAAGGTCAGATGGATAGCAAATAAAGAATATGCAGTTTCTCAAACTGGTCATGAAAATAAAACAAGTATGCTAATACCTTTATCTGCCCATCCATTCCTGTGGCAGCTGCAACAATTCCTGTACCACCCTTGGGCAACCTTGCAAAAAGCTTTGTGGCATATGCTTTTAGAATTCTTTGAAATACCTAGATACCAGTAAGGAACATAAAATCATAATCTGTATAAACCATTTATATATTCCATGGATTTACTGATGCATGCAGTGATGGTCTATTAGCTTCAGGCCATCTGGAAACCTTGTAAACATGCACCAAGCATATCAGTGATGCCATCACTAAAGGATGCAACTAGATGTGAAGATTTAGGTCACCGACCTTTTACACTTCTTAGGTTTGATTCATTTTGGTGAAGTTCCCAATTTATGTGACAAGAAAGCTGAATTTTCAAATTTCTGGATGTTGAAACACAATTATTTTTCCATGATATGTCAATACCCCTTGTTTTTATTTTTTAATGAAACCATGATGTGAACAATCAAAGGCATCATAATCAATACAATATGTACTTTAGGTGTCTGCCTTGAAATGTAATTAAAAAACCAACCCTATGGACACAGACACAACATAAAACAAAAATGCTATGGTAAATCCTAAAAAAGTAAGATATGGACATGATGAGAACTTGACAACAAAGATATCTATTCTTATACAAAAGTATATGCAATAAACATTACCTTTTAATAACTAAATCTAATATTTCGAGGCTATATTATGAAACTCGCAACTCAAATCATTACAATCAATAAATCACCCCTTAAAATCATTATTTGAACAATGACAGGCATCATAATCCTAAATCCATACATCAGGTGTCAGCCTTGACATTCTGCATGCATGGTAGAAGGTGAAATTATAAAACCAACCACTGAATCATGGAACAAACACAACATGCAAATATGTCAACTCGGTGAATCCTAAAAGGATAAGATTTGGACATGACAAGGACACAACAACAACAATATTTTTTTTATATAAAATGTATGTATATGTAATAAATATTACCTTAAATAATTAAATCAAATATTTTATCATTTTTATGGCTATAATATGAATTTTTTAACTTCATAATTATAATTAATAATCACCCTTGTTGCACAGACAACGACATGAGGACATGACATGTACATGTATGCATGCGCATGCATATAATCATAGTGACTTGTTTTCTTTTATGTGAACTCTTTTGGTAAAACCTTCCTTATATCTTAATTATTGTTATTTGAGCAATGTCAAACTTCTTAATAATTCTTATACAAACTTTAATTTGATATCTCTATACCACAATACTTTTATTTCATGTTAAAAAGGAAGTTATTCTTCAACATCAAAAAATTGTAGGTCACATTTTTACAAGTATCTAAGAGTATTGGCCATGTGTGCAATAAAGAATTTATTTTTAAATTATCCACATTCCACACATCTAAGGTGTGTTGGACAAGTATTTAAGAGTGTCCAAGCATTGTTGGTATCCAACTACAGCTATGAGAGCGACGGATGTCATCTGTTGCACAACAATGAACTTACAGAAATGATAAGACGGGATGATTTTCTGTTTCCTTTCTGGGATGAATGTATACACAATTAAACAAACATAAATAACATGTTACAGTCGTTTAGGTTTATCGATGAGTGAATATAGTTTACAATTATTATTGATGCTTTGAAATATTGACAATTAGCATAAAGGATTATTTTTTTTTTTTTTTGATAAGTAAGATTTTATTAAAAACGCTCAAAAAGGGGAGCGAAGCTCAAAGAAACAAAAGGAACACAAGGGCCAAATGGCGCCTTAGACTTTCAGAGAGGCCAAAAAAACAATAATTTCCTCCATAGATCTATAATCTCTCCCTGAAACCCAACAAAAAAGAGTAGAAATAACAAAGAACTTAAGCATAGAAACAGGCTTCTTTTTCCCGTCAAAATATCTCCTATTTCTCTCAAGCCAAATACACCACCAGATATAAAGCGACGTAGCCCTCCAAGCATCCCTAATGCCAGCCCCAACAGAGACGCCTCTCCAAGCCTCGATCAACCCTCTAGAGGAAAAAGGCATGGCCCAATGAACCCCAAATAAACAAAGCATCAAATCCCAACAATCTCTGGCCATGCTGCAATGTAAAAGGAGGTGATCAACAGACTTCTCATTACACAAACACGTGTAACAGTGATTGACCACCACTTGATTCCTCCTCCTCAGATTATCCTGGGTTAAAATCTTACCCAGAACAGAGGTCCAAGCAAAAAAGGCGACCTTGCGGGGAGCCTTGGACCGCCAAATAAACTTCCAAGGGAAGGGATCTCCATGACCAACCGAAAGGCATCTGAAAAGGACCTAACCTCAAAACGGCCATGCGAGGTAGGAATCCAGAACCACCAATCCGATCCCCCAAAAGAAATCACCTGGCTATACAACAGCTCCAGAAAACGAGAAACATCCTCGATCTCCCAATCCTGAAAATGCCTCCTGAAACGAACATCCCAAAACAGTCTCCCGTTATCAAGATGATAACAGTCAACAACCATGGCCTGTCGATGAGAAGCAATCCTATAGAGCCGTGGGAACGCGAGAGCAAGAGGGAGATCCCCACACCAGAGATCCATCCAAAAACTAATCCTCCTTCCATCTTTAATACGAAATCGAACATGCTTGCAGAAATCATTCCAACCGCTCTGAATGAAATGCCAAACTCCCACCCCCCTTGGACAACGCATCTCCAGGAAGCACCACCCACCACGACTCTCCCCAAATTTGCTAGCAATAACTTTCCTCCATAACCAATGCCTCTCGATCCCAAACCTCCAGAGCCATTTACCAAGAAGAGCCTTATTAAAAGGCAACAACCTCCGAAACCCTAAGCCTCCAAACCAAATTAGACAGCACACTTGTTCCTATCGAACCAAGTGAAATTTGAACTCTTCACCTTCCCCCCCCCCTGCCCCTGCCCCTGCCCCTGCCCCTGCCCCCAAAGGAAGTTGCACTGCAATCTTTCAATTCTCTCAGCCACTGAAGAAGGAATCTGAAACAGAGACAAGAAGTATGTAGGAAGGCTAGAAAGGGTGCTCTTAATCAAGGTAATCCGACCCCCCTTGGACGAGTACTGTTTTTTCCAACCCGCCAACCTCCTCTCGACTCTGTCCACAACTGGATCCCAGCTCCCCACACATCTCGAAGGGGCACCCAAAGGCAATCCTAAATAAGAAATGGAAAAAGAGCCAGTGCAACATCCAAGGATGTGAGCAAACAACTCAATCTCCGGAACATCCCCAACAGGCACAAGAATACTCTTTCCAACATTAACCTTAAGGCTAGAAACAAATGTCGTCAATCTCTACAATCCTACTGAAATAACGAAACAATATCAACATAATTACCAACCTATAGTCAGAAAAGAACATATGATTTTAAATCATCTGATTTTCTAGAACTTCCCAATGTACTATGAAGCAAATGAAGGGCCTTTAAGTCTTACTGAAGGTAAATATATATTTGATGTGACATCTTTCACAAATAAAAATTACTAAGTCAATAATAAATTAATAATCAGTTGCTTTATTCTATGTTTTAATTAATACATTGTGAAACAGTATATAATACAGACAGGGAATATTTACATGATGAGTGTCAGTAATGCACCTTGAACAAATTAAATAATGTCTGGTTCTTTGTCAAAGCACTGCATCGCTTTAAGCTTCTCCTGATTATCAAAAAGACCTTCACAAAAATACAAAGGGCAAGTAAGCAATAAATATCTTGAAATTGATTAAGATGCAATAAGAAATTCAGAACAGATCATATAAGATGAATTTGCATTGGCTGCTTCCATAACAGAAAGGTACAAGAGGGCACCGGTGATTAGTACAAGGCATTTCTTGAAAGATATAAAAAAAGATAGACAAATTCTAGATTGCATATCTAAATTTTTTTCTTTTTCCTTTTTCCACAAGAAACGAGAAACATATAAGAAAAGTATCGCAGTTACAAAGGACGAGGTATCCTTCAAGCCCCACCGAGCAAAAGCATCAGCAAGAGAAAACTACCTGAACAGCCCTTACAAACCCAACCACATAAACCAAGTCCTCCGAACAAAACGGGCTCGCAATGAGAAGAGGAGAAGGAGGGGGGAGGGGGGGATGACAAGGAAGTATTTCATTTCCTTCCCTGGACTTTTACATGTCCATCACATAGAGTTCATAGGATGTGAAATTCTCAGCATCATCCGGACCTTGCCTTAATCCCACATGAACAGGATCAGGCACTTGATTTTTCCATTACATTCACCTATTATATTTAACTTTTTAAAGTTATTTCTAATAACATCATTCCACGTCAATTTTGGTGTCTCGCGGTCTCTTACCTTCTATGCAATCTAGTCTTCCCCTCTTCCTACGAGCCATCTATAGGTCTCTGTTATACTCATATCATCTAAGTCTACTTTCTCTTATTTTGTCACTAATAGGTGTCAGCCCTAATTGTTTTCTTACACTTCTTTAGGAACTTTATCGCTTGAAGTCAGTCTGACCATCCATCTTAACATTCTCATTTTTTCTAAATGAATGTGTTGTTCTTATTGCTTTCTTAAAGCCCAAGATTCTGCTCCATATAAAATAGTTGGCCTAACAATTGTTCTATAGAATTTTCCTTTTAACTAACTTATTTCTTATTCTTTTTTTCAACTAACTTATTTTTTATTCTTTTATCGCATAAAATGACACTGGCATGTCTCTATTTGTCCAACCTGATCCAGTTCTACTAGTTATATCACTATCTCTCTCTATCCTTTTGTATTAAAAAGGGTTAGCATAGTCCATCAGACTCCCACCATTGCGGGATCTGAGGAGGGTCAGATTTAGCAGCCTTACCTCCACATGCAGAGAGGCTATTTCCTTGTTTCGAACCCGTGACCTAGGTCACAATAGAGCAACCTTACCGTTGTGCCAAGGCCCACCCTCCCTCTATCCTTTTGTATTACTGATCCTAAATATCAAATTTGGTTATTTTATATAATCCTTGGGTTTTGAAGTGTCACTATTTTCAATACCCGGATCTTTAACAATTTTACATTCCATATACTCTGTTTTAGTTCTACTATTTTTCAATCCTTTTTATTCTGATGCATTTCTCCACATTGCTAATTTTATTGGTATGTTCATAGAATATGATAAATGGACTATTTTAATCCACCATAAGCAGTAGGAACAGAACCGTTAGCGGCTTAGCCCATCCTCCTATTAAGATGTCGTGCCAGCACTTCACCACTTTACCATAACAGATTTAGCACTATAAGTAAGCCATAGATGATAGAGACCCATGGAAAAAGTGTTTAGATAAAGGAGGACACTGGATTGATAAAAACAAACACTTACAAAACACACAACACATGACATGGACACTGGATTGCCTAGTTACTCCATATCACATGTCCATCACAACATAGTACACATAAAGCAGTTGGTGTACTATATAAAATAGAGACCCTTGGAAAGCACAGTGCTGATAAAATAGGGCATCTCATTAGACCAAGGCCACAAGCAGTCTTTCCCATACTTTACTGAGGCCCACCTACTAGAGTAAGCACAAACCCAGACAAATTATGGGGTAAACCAGAACCAACAGAGAAATAGAGAAACCCACAAATGGCCACAAGCAAATGTACAGGAACCCAGGAAAACAATACTGCAGTAGATTGAATAATTATGGTGGTCATCTTTTTTTTTTTTTTTTTTGATAAGTAAATAATTATGGTCATCTTCTTAAGTATATAAAGAAAAAGATAAAGCCACAAATAGTGAGCCTGATCTCCTGGGATGCATGCCCTTTTTGCAGTAGGAGCAAGAAAGTAAATGATTTCTTATGAGCCTTGAACAGACTTGAAGTGTATTCTCAACTCAATGTGAATGGCATTATAACATAAATAGCATATAAAAAATATAAAAAATAAAAAAACAAACATATGAATAGAATAAACTAATACTCATAATGCCCACAAATAATTTTCATGGTTTTACCTGCATACTGCTGGATAAAATATTAGTTTGACTTCCCTCCTCAATATCCCAAGTTTCTTCCTGTTAAAGCGCACGCATTCATGCCATTACAGGAAATAAGCACAGGAAAATAGTATGATGCATTTAGAAGTGATATACCTAAACTACCTGAACAAGTTTCTCCAGATTCTCCATGAGAGTCTTCTCTTCTAGTTCCACATAAACCATCAAGTGAGGTTCAAAGCATGATGAAATAATACCACGAAAATTGAACTGCCGTATCAGTGAAAAAATACAATGGTCAACAGTTACTTTAATTAGCTGAAAGTATGGAACAAAGACTAAAACTAACAGTTCAAATCAACTAGCTTATATGAAGACCGGAATCACAATAGAATTATTGTAGCCAACATGTCAGGGATTATCCCACCATGGCTGGCTCTCACTAATTATTTGTCCTTCGACATGATTTGTAAAATATAACTATTCCTCTACAGTATGTCTAACATAAAAAAATTCAAAAAGTATTAACAGTAATAAAGAGCACTTCAGCAAATACCAATCACAACTTCAAACATCCATGCACATACGCACTAATAGTCATTCCACCGGAAAAGAAAAATAATGGTGATCAACTCTGCCTTTAGCTAAATGGTATAAACAAACTAAGTATCACATGGAATTGGGATGTGAGATAACTGAACTCTGTTTTGCAATAAATCAATTCAGTTACAAACACTAAGGGGGAAAAAAGGCAAACCCGCCATTGTGGGGTCTGGAGAGGGGCTGTGTATGCAGCCTTGCCTCAGATGTTTCCTACTTTCGAACCCGTGAACTCTAGGTCACAATGGAGCAACCTTACCGTTGTGCCAAAGCTTGCCCTCATTCTGTTTTACCTACTAAACCTGGAATTTCTTATGTAAAGGTCCCTATAGTTTCTATTTGTTTAAAAGATTGCAACAGATCATAGATGAAACAAACCAAGAGGATAAACGTCCAATATTCAAGCATATGTAATTATGTACCTAAAGTATGGGAGGGAAAAAAAAAAAAAAGGTAGATTATATAAAAGTCTCATCAACTTGGCATTTAATAATATCACTAACGAATATTCCTACAAGGAACCACAGAAAAGGTTAGAAAAATGTACCCCAGCTCCAGGCACTGATAGATCCTTTTGTCCATCTTTCTCCTAGAAGCACAATCAAAAGGCACAATTGGTGACCCAGTAAAAAGCAAATACTTTCAACTACATTTCCGATGGACAGAATGTTTCAAATAAATGAAGTAATTAACTATGCATACTTCATTGCCAATTCCTTGATGCGCAGCAAGCTTTTTCTCATACTTCTTTCGGATATCTGATACAGTCTGACTATTATTTTCTCCTTTATCTACTTCTTCAAAGTCACCACTCCCCATTTCTCTGCTACGAGTGCCACCACCAAATTTTTCTGCTAACTCTTCCTCGAATTCTAGAGTTCGTTGTAATGCCTACAAAAATTTACCATACAAATAAGAAAATCATCAGGAGTGATAGTGGCATCCAGAAATCAAATAATCATGAAACAGGACATTCGCAGTTCATCTACAATGACAGTTCATTTAGAAAAAAGAATGTTAGAGCACTTAAACAAAACCAATCAATGGAATTTTTTTCACGAATAGTAGCGGTCCAGATTTTACTACAGATTTAAATGTTTATTGATAAAGAGGAAGTAGAAAAATGGGGCAGAACAACTTAGGAAAGAGTTTTACATTAAATTTCCCTACAATAATTTATGTCAAGTATAGATGTGATGCATACTGTAGAGCATATCAAGAAAATTCAAAATGGCACTTATCATGTCTCCAAGAAGAATCAGAAGCAAATCGAAACCTGTGTGTGTTTGTGCTCAGGAGAGAGGTTTATGACTTTATTCACAATACTGTAAACATCAAGAGATAATTAAAGTATCCAAGGCAGCAACAGCGGGGTTCACAACAGAATCCCAAAACTGTGGCTCTTGAGTGACAAAACTAAGGGAGCCCAAGTAAAGCATTTTCCTACAGCCCATAATGGAGGTTTACTCAACAGTCTCAACTCAACAAAGCCTTTTTCCAATTACTCAACGTCGGCTACATAAATTATATTTTTCCATTCCTTTAACTCTACCTATGTTAATTTTGGTCTTCCCTTTACCCTTGATCTAGACCATGTAACTCTTCTTAAATGGTTCACTTAGTGGTCTCCATTCAACATGTCCAAACCATCTTAATGATTTTCTCTCATTTTATCTCTAATAGGTACTACTTCAACCATCTCACAAATATGTTCATTTCTAATTTTATCCTTCTTTTGCCATACAGCCATCTCAATATTTGCACTCCCACCACACCACTTTGTGAATATGATTTTTTTTTTTTTTTTTTTTTGATAAGTGCTTTGTGAATATGTTGTTTATTAGCTTCCTAGCTTAATCTAGACCACGTAACTCTTCTTAAATGGTTCACTTAGTGGTCTCTTTCACATGTCCAAACCATCTTAATGATTTTCTCTCATTTTATCTCCAATAGGTGCTACTTCAACCATCTCACAAATATGTTCATTTCTAATTTTATCCTTTCTTTTGTCATACATCCATCTCAATATTTGCATTCCCACCACACCACTTTGTGAATATGATTTTTTTTTTTTTTCGATAAGTGCTTTGTGAATATGTTGTTTATTAGCTTCCTAGCTTCTGTCCCATACAGAAATAATGGTGGTCAAAGCATCCAAATTTTCTACCTCCCAAACTGGAACAAACAATTACTATAATTTTTCTCATGTCACAAAGAAATATGATTCAGGGCAGAATTTATGCATCAAAAAAGTATTCAACTAAGCCTAAAGGTTACACCAATAAAGGGTGATTAGTTCAAATCGATTTGTTTTAAGACACTAAAAGGATATGGGAAAGGCAAAAAGATATGTTGATTGAGCTAGTGCACTGCCTTATGGTATATAAAAAGTATGGCCTTAAGTATAGCAAATGGCAATATTCTATATCTGTAGTTGATCCAAAGTAGTTCAGAAAAGGCTTCCATGAGAAACCAAGCTCAATGCATCTGTGCCATATTCCTAAAAAAAAAAAACTAGTACACATTGAAATCAAGTAAAATAAAAATAATATCAAGTTCATGAATTCAAGGGCCTATTACTAGTTTTTACACAATTATTGGAGGAAGGATATAATTTACCAACAATAGCGTTCCAACATCTGGCTTTTCTTTTAGATTATCAAGGATTTCCACAAGTTGTGCCCTGAAAACAAGAACCATACAAAACAGTTATGAGACCAATAAAAATTATTCTAGAGCAAATAGATAGTATAATAGAATACCATACTCCAACAGGGTTAAGGAAAATATAATTGAGCTTCTGTGTGGAAAATACAAATATTGTTTTCAATATCATTTAAGCGTCAGTAAACTTTAACATGCATTGTAAAATATCAAGACTGTTATCAATGATTTTCCTCAAAACTTTTTTACAAAATTAATAATAATTAAAAAAGATCATGAACGCTATTTGCTAAATAACTACGAGAAAGAAGACCAACCCTACCAGCTGTGTGGAACACAATTAGCACCAGAAGAGGGCATAGTTAAAGAGCATTTTCAGTTTCTATAGGGTCAAAACATTGAAAACTTTGTATATATGTTAACACCAATAATGGTATCACAACATTGGTAGCCCGCAATTTTAATATGCTCATAATATGTGGCATTTCATAACTTTCATTCCTAAGTTAAAAAGAACCACAACAAATTCTATGGTAAATTCTGATCAATACCATAGTCATTTACTCAACCAAGAATTAATATAATCATACTCGTTAAACAAATATCAGCATTTAAATTCAAACACAAGTAGATGAAAACCTTGTCAACTTGCAGAACTGGATACAGAGTAGATAAGAAACATGCCACGAAGGAGGAAAGATTTTCCAGAGTTCCTCATTTGTCCTTAATCGACGCTTGATCCAAGCATATCTTCGTTCAGTTTTATCCAACTTTGCTAGTTCTGGTAAAATAGTAAATGTAAGGAATTCCAAGCACAAACAAATGAAAAGTAGATTGCACATACCAATAGTAAATGAACCTTATGAAAAATAATAAATAAAAAAATGGACAAACCAGCTCCTTCAAAGATCTGTTGATATGAAGTAAGCTCCCTGCTGCAAAAATTCTTTACCAACTCTTCCCTCACAGATGGTTCCAAAGCATCAACAACTAAGCATGCATCTGATAAATGCTGCAGTAAGTTACTTTCTTCCGTCTCTTTCCCTGTACCTAAGCTGGGATAAAAAAAAAAAGGGAGGAAAAAAAAAACAAAGAGAGAGTGATAAAGCTTAGAAGATACAAATAGGCATAATTATTCAGTACTAAAAATAAGAAATCAGTTTTGGTACTTTTCTAGTCAATTATATTCATCCAAAATAAAAAGTAAACTATCACTAAACGCTTTCTGGAACAAGGTAGAGCAAAGAAACCAGGAAGGATGGAAAAAATCAACGAAGAATTTAAACCTTGACATCTATAATTGATGTCTCTCTTTTGGAAGTAACACTCACAAACTCCAAACTTTAAGTTCTACTTTCAACATCCCCAAAGTCAAATTTCTAAAGTTTGTAACACTCTTTCATGAGTGACTCCTTTGGAAGAGTAGGATGCCACAATCCTGGTTATGCCGAATTATGGGTAATCCTATCCTTTAATGCCAAACCTTACACTGGCTCGCTCATTTTTCCACTGAGTGCTTTTGTTTCTACCAATAATGTTTTCTCTTCTGCTTCTCCTGTTTGGCAAGAACTGGTGTGTATATCATTAATCTTTCATATAAATTTTGTCTCATATAAAGAATTTTGAAATGAAAATAAAACAAACTATTGAAAAATTGAAGACGATTAGTAAATTTCTGAGAAATATCCACAATGTGAGTTTATATCTTAGTTAATGGGGCTCCTTGCAGAGTTGCAGTTGAAGAACAGATAACTCTTTATCCTAAAATCCTCTTGCCACTAAGTTTTGTGGTAAGAATTTAGAATTGATTTATTCTTTTTCAAAATTATCATTTTCTCATAGCATCCTACACGCTACTTGATAATCTGATGTAAACACAAGGGGGTATCCGCGTGTGTGTGTGTGTGTTGAGAGAGAGAGAGGGATAACATCAACAAGCAAGTTCAAGATCGACAAACAAAAGAATATGTGAATATCATTAGCATTTTATCAAGTATCTAATCAATGGGATTTGGACAAATAGTATGTCTCAAATCTAAAATGCAACAAACCTTGAGAAATCAGAGAAAACATGAGACTTGAGAATCATTTTGATGTTCTTGAACTTCTCCCTGAGCTCTGTGATCTTTGAATTATCCCTATAGGCTTCAAAATGACTACATAATTGATTTACAGCCTGAAATGCATCATGAATCACAGAATAAGCAAACAGGAGAAACTTCAAATAGATTAATTTTCAAAAATGCCAGTTTATCGGGGATGATTTTTAATCTCACTTGATGGTTGTTAGGTCGTTTAAAACCCAGTACAAAGAGAGTTCGACGTTTGGGACCACTGCTTGTACAATCAAGCATTATTAAGAAAATTGTTGTGGAGGTATGGGATTGAGAAGAGAGTTCTGGAGGGGCAGTCAAGGAGTAAAAGGAGAGATCAGCACATAGGGGAGGTCCAGATCTCTTATGGGGTCCAAGTACAAAGAGGATTCAGAAGGGATGAGAAGAGTTCTAGAAGCACATCAGAATGGGTGTTATAAGTGGCAGAGAGCTAGATTCTAGTTTGACCATCAGTGCAGTGAGGTCCCCTTACATAGGAGATAAGACCTTCCTGCAACTAATCGGGATTGCAGCAGACTGTCAGGAACCGGTAGCGATACTAGGTTAATATTTACAAAAAATGGGGTGGTGCGGGATAGTGGCATTCTACAGGGGATCTTGTATGAACAGGTTGTGATCAAGGGGGGAAGAGATGTTAAATCATAAGTAAAATGACAGTAGTTTACACTAGAGCAGTCATGATCTTTGTACACCTCTCTTGATTAGGACCAGATGCACTTATTATCTATCTGTTGGTTAAATAAGCCCCAAGAGAACTTAAAGCAGCAAGTAGAAATTACATTTTTCACTTCAGTAATTTAAAAGAGATGTTAATCACTAGCAATTCTTTCAAAATTTAGAGGCAATTAAATACAGGTACGAATTTTTATTGCTACCAACAATTAAAAACTACACTATTACAAATTATCCAAATATTCACTTGGTAATATTTTCATTCACAATAAATAAAATGTAAAGCCTGAAACTGTCACTAATAAGTACTTCAATATTTAATAAGCTATGGAAGTAAAAAGTTCAGATAATTAAAAAAGAAAAAAGAAAAAAATAAGTCCAATCAGAACCTCAGAAGAATAAAATATCAGCACTTGTTAACCTATAGGGATGGAATTCCAATAACAGCTGAGATACCTCTAGCTGTGCAGCTGCTTCCCTATATTGTCGTTTTGAAGCCATTACTTGAAGTTGCTCAACAGCGGAGACTGCCATAGTTAAAAAAAAAATGTTGAGTAAGAATTTGTGAACCATTACATGCTTATTGGGAATTTCAGATCTATGTCAACGAACCAAGCTGATTCTTTCCATAGTACAACGCCATAAACATATCTCAGAAAAATTAAGGCATGTAATATACTTAATAAAATAAATAAATAAAAATAAGGCATGTAATATATCCATTATAAGACAACAAGTATGGTTTCAGTTCGGCCTTGCACAATGCTCTTTAAGCAATTCTGATCAGAAAATGAAGAAAATTGGACTTGAATGTTGATAATCTAGAACATATAAATTGCAAATAAACTAAAAAAGAATAATTTACCTTTGAGATGCATTCCTCACTATTGGATTTTTTCTTCTATTTTTCAATTACTCGTAGTAAACATAAAAGGTAACTTTTTTGCGAAATTTGTTAAAACTTATGAGAATCTCGCACTGACCCAATGTGGAATCTAAAATCTGACAAGCTTGATTACAATGAGACCAAGATGCAATAGAAATGCACAACATAGGAACATAACAAAACCAGAAAAGACTAACCTAGCATGGTAAGACGATGAAGGGCAGTAATTGTAGTTGTTATATGCTTCTTGGCAAAATCCAACTTCTTTATGTCACGGCATATTTCCTGAACCATTGTTTCGCTTTGCTCAGCTTTGGTTTTTATTTCTCGGATCTTGTACATCAGTTCCTACTTTACAAGAAATAAATAATCATATTGATAGAACCTAGAAAAATATAAGAAATGCAATCAGCAGCATTAAGAGGCTTAATCATGCAAAAATCATATTGACACCTTTAAGATACACAAAATTTGGTCCTTTTATAAAATGAATTTGTGTTTAACGAACAGACCTCCACAGCCCGCGTCGCTGCAGCAAGATCCTCTTTAGCTTTGGTTCCTGAATTACTCTGGAACAAGAATTTGGCAATCAAATAACTTATCACCAAAAAAATATCATCAATTAAAAGAGATAGGTGTGTGGGTGAGTAATTGAAGTACCTAAGTCAGACACATAAATTACTTGGAATGTGTATACATCCTAAACTTTTGGTTGGATGTGTACCTAAAAGGCATATCTAATGATTGAGTTTTATTTTATTGCATCAAAACGAGTCTAATACCTAAGTTAAATACTATGTAACGGAAAGCAATCATACTCTATAAAATAAAATAAAATATTAGATAGTATGAATATTTAGCAGTGTCGTTGTTTTCTATTTTGTGAATTTGATTTGTTTGGCGCTTGAATACATACCCGCACCCAAAACACATTATCCCGGTCTACATAACATAGATTGAGTGTAATACAAAGTGTGCATTTTCACAATTTCCATGATCATTCACTATTTAAATCATTATAGATTTTATGCAAAAGGGGGGAAAAACATGGAAACAAAAACAACTGCTTTCATGTACACTTAAATTGATTAATGGACATCAGGCAACCAATAAGCAGAGAACACAACCTGTTGACGAACAGCTGCTAAAATTCCAGCATCCACACGGCGAATCTCACTATGTATCTTTTGCATAAGTGGTTCAACACCAGACAAAGATGCCTCTGGAGATTAAACATATTCCACATTGTCAACTAAATAAAAAAAGTAACAACATAGACATTACCTAAAAAACCTATAGCCTAGTCAAAGAATGCAAATACAGATATGTAACAAGAAACTTCAAATATTAAAAGAAAAACAAAACTTTTTTTTAACCAATTAGTGAATTTAAACATATATGAGAGTTGCACTAAGCCACTAAGACAAAAAAAAATAACTAAAAATTCAAGATTAAAGTCCTCGATTTCCTTTCCTTTAGCCCCCTTCACGCTTCATTTTATTGGCAATTCATTTTACGATTTTTATGGAGGTTGGGACTTTCTATGGAGGGTAGAGTATTTTACAACTTTATTTTAGCATGACAATAAAACATTACAGACAGATCTTCTTTTGGTGAATAAAATATCCACCGTTTGATAAAAAGGAAAATAAATAAATATATATATATATACAAAATGAAGCATCATGCCATAAATTTTCAAATAAGTTGGGCAAATAAAAAATGTGTCCCAAACAGTCTAACCGCATACACATGGAGATAGCATGATAACTGAAAAATTATCAATAGAAAAATTAAACAGCAATGCTTGTTTCAGGATGACAGGGGCCTGCGATATTGCCAGTGCTGTTTCCTTGGCTGTGCTGCATCTTTATCTTGAGCCAATAAAAATTAAACAGAATTGCTGGTTTCGGATAATCAAGATATGAAAAAAAATTATAACAAAGATTCATGTAATCTAAAATTTTGAGCAGAGTAACATTTAAAAGGAGAGGGGGAAAAAATAAATAAATAAATAAATGCAGAAGAAGAGGAAGTAGTAAGTACTTTAATACATAGGATCATACAGTATCTTAGATGCTAGAAAATGTGATATGATGAAGTTTTCATCAACGTGGAGGGAAAAAAAATCCAACAGATTACAAAATTATACCAATCACGGATGCATTCAAATCTAAAAAGTTTCATGTGATCGGGTCTAACATGTGAGTGTGTGTGGTGTGAACAAACACGCGCCAAAACGAGTATCAAATTATCAATTAACGGTGATGATCTAGATATAACCTTGCACAGCAACAAGTTTCCATTATCCTGTACAATGGTGTTTCCAATAAAAATATAGATTTGCGATTGTAGTAACATATGTGCTTCAAGAACTACAAGTCTGCAACTGAACAATCTGATAAGCGCACACACACTGACAGAAGGTATGTGTGTGAACTGTTGTACAAAGACAAGTAAAAAGATTATATATATGACCTGAAGGGAACATCTGATTGATGTAGTCCAGAGCATTTGACTTATCCATGGTTGGTAGAACCGAAATTGAAGCTTCTTGATGCCTTATCAACCAACCTAAACAAATGGGAAAATCCCAAAAAAGAAAACCTCAATATTTGAACATCTTTTGTTATGTATGCTTTACATATAACAATAGATTTGAAATCAGGTCACCTGAGATCTGTATCACAAATGAATCGTCATTACTCGAAGAGAGAGAGATCGAACCGATCTACGTCTTAGTTGCGAATGATCAGATTAAACACGCGTCTGACTGTCTGAGGTTTGGCTCGGGTTGAACCCGGAATCGGATGGACGAGATCGTGTGTGTGGGGGAAGGGAATGGATCGGGTTTCTTTAAACCCTGGAAGGCTGGAAGATAGGAAGATGGATAATATGAAGAAGTGGTGTGAAGAGAATGGATCGGTTTTTTTTAAACCCTAAAAATGGAATGAAGAATGGATCGGGTTTCTTTAAACACAGGAAAGCATACAAAACATTTTTCTTTTCTTTTTTTTTTTAACTCTTATTTGCTTGAGTTAAAGCATTATAACAAAATGGTACCCATTAGGTTAGTGTGTTCCATAAATTTTGGAGTGTCAGACTTCGACTTTCTGCATTTACAAATCTAACTTCTTAGTTGTTATTTTTTTTTTTTTAAATTTTTTTTCCTGAGAAGGTTTTACTTTCAAATAATAATTTTTGCGTTAATCATTGATACCACATGTAAGCTAGTTTTATAATTTTATTCACTTTATCGATTATGAAATATTTTTAAATTATAATTATTTTTATTATTAATCTACTTTTTATATTAAGAACGTAAACAGGTATTTGTATTGTAAAGAAAAATATATTAAAATTCATATTCTTACTTAGTATTATTTTAAATTTATTAGTTTGACCACTTTAAATAATATTTTACAATCTATTTCGCTGATATAAATAAACTAAATGGAGATAAGAGCAAAACCTTGAAGCCAAAAGTTTTGGAGTGAAGTGATAACTAAGAAATAAATCATTGAAAATATTGGGAGAGAAATAAGAATATATGAAAATAAAAGTAGTTATTTGGATGATAGTGTAAGTGAGAAAAGAATATGAGGTAAGCAAAACTAAAGTTGCATTGTCTTTGTTGCAATTCTAAAGAAATGGCTACAGTTTAGACAAACATTTTATAAGAATTGATTTTAGAGAAAAATATAAAGATGAATTGTTGGCTATTATTCTTAATTTGTATGCATTGTTTAGTGGAACCTATTTACCGATAAATTATTAAATGGTTCTGATCTATTTGATACTTGTTGGACTAATTCAATAATTTCTCTCATTTACCATGATAATAAAGTTAATATAAATTTTGTTGGTATTTGAAATTAAAGTTAAACTTTATAATCCCCTTTTTTATTATTGCTTTTATTATTGTTTTAGTTAAAATGCAACTAAATAACACACAAAAAGACATCTAAGTTGCCATTAAAATATAAAAAAGACATCTAAGTATTTAATCGAGCTAAACTTTTAATAAATTGTTGAGATGCTCATTAACATCTAGTTTACTTTTATTAAACTTTTAGTATTTTAAACTTTTTTCAACGTCCAGTTTACTTTTATTTATACGGATAAGAGATGCTCATTAGCACCAGTTGTCATTGTTGAGAATTCGAAACTCATTGAAATTCTAATTGGATGTGCAAACACAAGAGATAATAGGAATGTGATAGTATCATATTTTTAGCAGGATTGGTTAATCCCAACACTCCTGTTTCAAAAGAAATATTTTCTGAGTCCAATAAAAAGACATGAATTTCTATATAAGACAAACTTGACATCTAATAACAGGTAAAATCCTACCACGATGTTCTCTGTCATGTTTTTTGGCACTGAATTTTTAGACAAATGGATTTCTCGGAAGGCTCAAGCAAGTCGAAGGCTGAGTGTGAAGAAGGCTCCTGTCCAATAGTGAATGATTTTTAAAAGTAATATAAAAACTAGGGTTGCAAGTTGGGCAAGTCCAACCCAATCCGATCTCAATCCAAAGTCGGGTTGGGTTAGACCGACTGGATGTCCAAAAAAGTTAGGCTTTGACGGTAACCCAAATCTGAATGTGTTCGGGCCGGACAGAAAAATTGTATGAAAATGAAGAAGAAAAAAAAAATGATTGTGTATACCGAAATTACCCTTGTGATTTCAAATACTAAGAAAATAAATAAATTTGTGTTTGATGATTTTTATTTTTATCAAAGTTTTAATAAAATGATTAATTATTAAATATAATAATATAATTATTTTATTTATTTATATAGTTTAAATTAAAACAATACTTCAAGACTTCTTAGGTAGAACTGTAGAAATAGAACTAACTAATCATTTAATAGAAATAAGGGAGCTTAAAATTAAAAAAATTTGGGCTCGTGGGCTTTCAACCAGAGAACAAAAAAGAGCAAGAGCAAAATATATATTATTCTCTTTATACATATAATTGAGGTGTATATATATATATATATATATATATATATATATATATATATATATATATCGGATACAATGTTTTTTTTCCTATAACCCCAAAAAAAAAAAAAATCGTCCAAATAGTATTGCAACTTTGATACAATGTTTTCTTTTCTTAAAATTCTTCTTTTCCCCCTTGTAGTATGTAACTTTGTTTTCCATCTTCTTTTATTCTTTTTATCTATTTCTTTTATTTAAATTTAATATTGTAATTTTATGAAGTTAACTTCATACATGGTTTCCAAAATACGAAGATTTACAACTTTATTTAATGAAAATATTAACAAAAATTATAGTAATTCTGCAATGAAAATTTTTTTTTCTTTGCCCTTTGATTTCAAGAATCTATATGTCATATGAATTTTTTAATTTTTTTTTACACTACGCACCCTGAATTAAAATCTTATACACTGGCTCCGCCCATCAATAAATCATACAAACACTTCACATATATAGATACATATATATCAAAGATTTGGAAGCTAAAAAAAAAAATTAAAAAAAGGAAGTTCTTAAAAATTTTGGATTTTGGGTTGGGTTTGGGTTGAGACCGAGCCCACCCGACTATGTATGGGCTTTGAAAAATTCTAACTCGATTTGAGCTTGATTTGTGAATCAAAAAGGTCGAAAAAATTATAGGCTGGTCTCGGGTTAGGTTGAGTTGGCCTGCCCAAATTGCACCCCTATTAGAAACAATAAGGAGAGAAAATGGGCAGCATAGAACAACTCACAGGACAAATTTGTGAATAAAATATTAATCACTTAACCCGTGATCTGAATTCCCGAAACGGCCCTTTAAAAGCAAGTTTTTGTAGTTGCGGTTGAACGGGCTTTTAGACCAACACACTTCTTCTATAAGCACATTTAGAAATTTTACTTTTCAAATGACTTCCTTGACTTGAAAGCCTATTTTGGAGGTAAGGAAGCACGCCAAATAGGGCCTAAGATTCCCTCACATATTTTTATTAAAGAAGATTTTAGTTCAAGGAAAAATGACAAGCTGAACAAAATATAATATTACTTTATAGTATTACTAGGTGCTCATGATTTTTATATTTTTCCATTTTCTAACCGAAAAAAAAAAAGCAGCCCGAGATAATTTACAATTTTTTACAAAATATAGCATTCTATAAGGAAAAATAAATGAAAAGATAATTTAAAATTTGTTATGAAAATATAGGGGCTTGATTGTCATGCTAATTTTTTTTTTTTTTTGAGAAATTTAATTATTAGTAATATTTTTGGTTATATTGCCCTTTTTCTTTCGATTAATCCATGGAAAGTCGAATTCAAAAAAATGAGCACGCTTCAATTAGGGGTAGGGCAGAAAATTTTAAATGAAATCCAAACCCGTCAATCCGTCCAGAATTTGGGCTAACACGGATACAAATTTTTAACCCGTTCAAACACCGCCAGTCAAACAGTATAAAGTGAAAAAGAAAACCCTAGATATTCCTCTATTTATATTTCTCACAGTGCCTCTCTCTCCCCCCGATCTCCCAGCAACACAAACCAATCATCGAAACCCTAGAACGACGACCAGAGAGATCGAATCTCTGTCACTATCTGCGTGATCTTCATTTATTTTGAAAAAATCTTCTTCCTTTCGGAAAATTATAAACGCCAACGGGCTAAGCAATAGAAACTCCGTTTCTGTTGAAAGGCCAGTTTTTTTTGACTCGCAACCAAACCGCCATTGAAATTCAGGTAAAATTCTTATTTTATTGTCAGATTTGATTTAAATAAGAGTATACAAGTACATGCGCCTATCTTCTCAGTTAGGGGTCTTTTTTTTTTTTTCATTCGGTTCGGTTTTGGGTGTTTATAATTTCGATTCCAGTGACAGTGGTGATATGGGGTTGCCAGTGCCTGCCACTTTTTCGTGGGTTTGATTCGAGTACAATTGGAGTACAATTTTTGATGTGAATATTAGCTCTCCGTTATGTCATGCCATGTATTCTAGGGCAGAGTTATTGTAGTAGGTTTGGTTTGCTTTTGTAGTGATTTAAGGTGGATTGGGAGTAATATTTCTTTTTGGTAGTTAAGTAACACCAGCACACCTCTTTTTTTGATAAGTAAACAGATGCATACCTCACACACCTCTCACCACCCCATTGGGCTCACCTCCCCTTTAGGGTAATATTAATAATTTTAGAGAAAGAATTTATTAACTGAAAGTTGATTCTAGAGAGTTGGGTATCTGTCGGGGGCGCAGTGATGGTCAATCTTATATACAGTTTGCAGTGATAGATTACACCAATAGAAGTGTTAATAGATTTTGGGTTAAAAGTTTAACTAGTCATGAAAATATTGAATGTAAATAAAGCTAAGCCGTGAAAATATTGAATGTGAATAAAGTTTGGTTCCATCTGGAATGACAATGTTTAGACTTGTATATTGTGATTTATAGAGGAGGCTTGATTTATATAGCTATTATCATTGAATTCTATTTCACCACTGCAATTTCATTTGGTGTTGAATTTTTATCTTATAAGGTCATAATTGATGCCAATCAAATTGGCTCATTAGGCTGGATTTGGGACTGGATGATTGGTCTGCAAAAGATCTTGTATAATGGAGCTACAAATTAGTTTTTATTGACCCTTCGAGTCAGGCCCGTTGGACTATTTAGTTTAGGGATAATTCCATAAAAATGGTATTTTGGTGGTCAAATGCCAAAAAGGTGGAGTCAAACTTAATTTTTCTAAATTAATGGAATTTTTTCAAATGCTGACTTGGACATGGAAAGTTACTGTAGATTGTTTCTTAATTCCTAAACTGCCCTCCACACTCTTTGCTTAGGCAACTGCCAAAAAAGGCTAATCAGCTGTGTACCATCTTCACGAAATTAACTGCATATCTCTATACTCAATCCCATTGTGTACCATCTTCACGAAAGTACCAGACCCTCCTTCGCCAATATAGGTCACACACGGATAAGCTTGGTATGAGCCTCCAGGCATCAAAGAAGGTCCGTAACAAGCACCCACTTCGCCGCCGGAAACGCCCATGCCGAGATAAAGAATACCTTTATCGGCGACCTCGAGGATCCGTCTCTCGGTGTTTTCGTACCACTCGTTGCCGCCGTCGATGATGGTGTCTCCGGTGTCCATGTGCTCGGATAGGGCGGTGATGGTTTGGTCGACGGGTGAGCCGGCCTTGGCGAGGTTGATGACCGATCTGGGTTTTTGGAGAGAGAGGACGAAGTTGCGTGGAGTGTAGTGGCCGGTCAAGGGGAGGTGCCTTTGCGGTGGGCTCGATCTAGGGTTTCATCGACCTTGGAGATGGTCCGATTGTAGACGGAGATGGGGAAGCTTTTTCGGCGGTTGCCTTCACAAAAGAGTGGAGGGCAGTTTAGGAATCAGAAGACAATCTACAGTAACTTTCCATGTCCAAGTCAGCATTTGAAAAAATTTCATTAATTTGGAAAAATTAAGTTTGACTCCACCTTTTTGGCATTTGACCACCAAAATAACATTTTTATGGAATTATCCCTTTAGTTTACTCCCCCACCTACTAATCTACTATCTCTTAATGGAATTTATATTCTTCAGCTCTTGAATTAGCTTTTGATCTGTTTGAAATTCAATATTTAAGTACTGAATTTAGACCATCATCAAGCCTGACTCGAATTTATATTCTTCAGCTCTTGAATTAGCTTTTGAGCTGTTTGAAATTCAATATTTAAGTACTGAATTTGGAGTTTTTGTATGTGTTAACTTTTTTTGTGACCGTCCTATGTTTTGTCTATACCTATGCAATTGCTTCTTGTCCAAAGAACTGTCTTTTTTTCTTTCTTTTCTTCGTCAAATTACTCATCTTTTTGGAGGGTTATCTTAATTTTGGCGTCATAATAATTTACTTGTTTTGATGTCTGCTATAGTTGGTAACATAATACTTCAAACACAGCAGCCTGAAAATGCCTCGCTATGATGATCGATATGGTAATGCTCGTCTCTATGTTGGCCACTTGGCTTCAAGGACGCGTTCACGTGACCTAGAGAAAATCTTTAACAGATATGGGAGGTAATCAAATTTCTTGCCCTTTGAATAAAACCTATGGTTATATGTGAAATTGTGCACCATCCTATTCTTTGTGTAGGGCACATGCAATTTTCTTATTTCAAACCAATTGTAAAAGCTTGGCGAAGTTTCTTACTTTCCATGCTCATTAGTTAAGTTGTATTATTATATTTTTGTTGTAAACAATAACCTTTTATACTCTTTTTTGGTCCTTAATCCTATTTGGAGATCTTGTATCCCCTGTTAGTATTAGAAATTTATGAGGTTGCAATAATGTTTTTGACAATCAAACTTAGTCAGTTTTGCTATCTATTAAGTGAACCGAGATTTTGTCTCTCTTGAAAATGTAGGTTTATCATCAAATGAATGCTATTATAAATCATATTATTTTATTTCTTTTATTGTAACAAATTATTGTAACAGTTCTTACCTCTCTGATTTAACCAACTTGCCACATGAAGTGACGGGCAGTTTTTGAAACAGCGAGACAATCAAAATGGGGTTTGGGGTACGTCTCCATCTGACATGTAGGAGACATATAGGCCTTTTCCAAGCATGTTTTTTGTGCTTGGATTTACATTAGTTTTTCATTATGTTCTCTGTGAAGGAACACTGTTTCCCCAGGCGTCTCTATTTTAACTTGAACGATCTTGTTGAAGGTTTCTAGGCTTTTGCCTAACCTGGAGGTCAATGGTGGGAGGGTGGCCTTGGTGGAATTGGTCCAAATTCTTGCCGAGTTTATAGGGAACTTTGGCGATTCTTTCTGTAGTGTTATTCCGTATTTTTATGGAATTGGCAACAATCTCAAACTGGTGTTTAGTTCGTCTGTGGTGGGTGAAGTATCATACACTTGCAGTACTTAAGTAATGATGGCCTTAATGTTTCTGGCAACCGTTTTCGCAGAGTACGAGATGTGGATATGAAGCGCGACTATGCCTTTGTCGTATGTACACCTCATCTTTTTGTATCTATTTTCATGATTATGATTGTGCTCAATTATTTAACTAACCATTCGTTTCTCATAGCTTATATTATACAATCATGGGTTCCCCTCTGTTGGTTTCTGCACCTCAATTTTTATTTACAGGAATTTAGTGATCCTCGGGATGCTGATGATGCAAGATATGGTTTAAACGGTCGAGAAATTGATGGAAGTCGTATTATTGTTGAATTTTCAAAGGGAGTAAGTACTGTAATTTATGTTATTTGGTATCGAATTTTTTTACACACTTCATTAGTAATTTGAGTGAGGTTGACTTTGAGTTCATGGTGTTGCCATTTTTTTTTGCTACTCAGTGGCATGTTTATTCTGCATGATTTTTCAGGCAGACAAGTTTTTCATTTTAATGGAAGTATTCGCAGAAGCTTAAAGGATTATGAGGCTTTTTAAAGTATTTAAATTTTTTCACTTATATATGTATACGACACAGTTTTATGGATTCTATGGATGTAGAATAGGAAAGGAAATAAAAAGGTTTTATTTCTCGAGAGAACATATTTTTCTTATTGTGCCATTTTGTGAATGAAGTTTGTCCATAACTGAATATGTGTTTGCAACGATGCATGATTTGGGATGCAGGGGCCGCGTGGATCTGGTGGTTCTCGAGAGTATATGAGCAGCAGAGGCCCCCCTCCTGGATCTGGACGCTGCTTTAATTGTGGCATTGATGGCCACTGGGCTCGAGACTGCAAGGCTGGAGACTGGAAGAACAAGTGTTATCGCTGTGGAGAAAGAGGTCATATAGAACGAAACTGCCAGAATAGTCCTAAGAAGCTCAGGTACTTGGTTGTCTTTTGAAGATTCTCTTTCTCAGTTCATTCATTCATTCATGGCATTATAATTATACAGCAGACGTGGACGGAGCTACTCAGGATCACCAGTGAGATCACCCTCTCCTCGCCGTGGCAGAAGCCGAAGCAGAAGTTTTAGCCCAAGGCGTAGCTACAGGTTGATTTTTAATGTTGCGTGGATTATGGTATTTGCTCTTGTTTTTTTCCAGCTAGCTGTATTCTCTATTTATGGTTCGCAATTGATTGATATGCCTGCTGTCTCGTACCAAGATATAATAAGTATTGGGATTAATAGGACTTTTCTATTTCTTGCTGGAATTTGTTGGGTTCTGTCTCATGGTGGTGTTGGGTTGGGAATATTTTAGTGAGAACAGCTTTAGCACGTATGCTCACACACATGTTTACTTTATTATTTATTAATTTGTAAGCAGAATTGAATTTTTACCTAGTTGTATGGTAACTCAATTGTTTTTTATTGCCAGCCGATCCAGATCCCCTCCCAGGAGAGAGCGGATTGTTGAGCGTGAGGAGAAGAAATCAAAGAGCCCTCGGTATCGCTACAGTAGAAGCCCCGAGGCAAAGAAGAGTACCCCACCTCTCTCCAAGGTGAGAAACCGCAGCCTAACACCCGAGGAGGTCAGCCCCAGGGAGAAAACTAGTCCTTCTCCCAAAAGAGGTAGAATGGTATCGGAACGGAATGGGTCAGAGTACAGCGAGAGCCCCAGGGAGAAGAGCAGAAGCCCTGTTAGCCCCGATGAAAAGGATAGCCCTGCTGCTGGGAGGTACAGGAGCCCTTCTGATGCTTATGGTCGAAGCCGCAGCCCGAGTCCCAGGGATGACGGAAGCCCTGTTGATAATGATAATGATAATGATGATAACCGCCTTTCCCCAAGAGGCAGTGAGTCATCTTGAATTGCTTTCTCGTCACATATGTGGCACTTATGGAAGATAACCATTAATGTTTCTGGTTTATTTTAGTTGCATTATAATGGGACTTGGAAAGCTAAGGTAAACACATCTACTTGGAGATTAGTGAGAATATCTGTGACTTTTCAGTACTGATAAATGCCTTATTTGGCCTATTTTTATTATATCCGTAGCATCAGTTTTAAGTACACATTGGGAACGATTTAACAATCTTTGGATGACAATTTACATGGCTAATCCAAATCATTCATTCAAAGCAGGTGACTGGAACTCTTGGCAAGTAGAAGTGAGTTACAGTTGTGTATGTGAACGGCTTTATTAATTGGCATTTTTGATGGGTTAAAGTTAAGCTGTTATTTCGAGATTAGTTAGCATGCTCAAAATCATGATGACTCCTTAAAATGCTTAAAATTTGGCTTTTGGACTTAACAAGAATTTGGCAGTAGCAATAAATTCTGGACTCTAAATGCGCTAACTCGCTTTGATTTGTGCTTGACCCAAATGACAATTTTGGTTATTGTTTGTAGCTCTCTCTCTCTCTCTCTCTTCGTATTCAGTAAAGGGTAGTTGAGCAGTCGAGAGAGCAACTAGATCCACCAGGCATAAAAGCACTTTATCTAGCCCAAGATGCCCAATTATTTTTCGTGCTTTTGTCATCCTAAGAAGAGAATCTATCCGGTAAGGATCACTAGGTATTTAAACCAAAATTAATGTCCTTAATATTTCATAAAGATTCCATAAACTGTAATATGATCTCAATTCTCAAGTTATTAGGTGTATAATGATAAATTAGAGCACCCCCATTTTGTTAGTGCAGAAATTTTATATCTTTTCCTCAGAAAATAAGTTCCTAGAACAACTTTTTCAACATGAGCAATATATATATATATGTGTGTGTGTGTGTGTGTGTGTGTGTGTGGACGATGCTGTATAGCTAGCAAAGGGTTTATGTGATTGACCCTAATAGAGTGTTGTACTACTGGCTTTGATAATTCAAGCTGTAATGGTTTACTCCATTTCCGAACTAAATGACCCAAAAGCTGTAATGGTTTACTCCTTTTTTTGAACTAAATGACCCAAAGTTCATTGACTATGAATTTTTCCCCTATGGAGAGCCACTTCATCTCTCCAAGAGGGATTCTTTCATGATTTCACATATTGGCTTTACAAAGAAGAAGAAGATATTACAAGTAGACCCCGGACCGAGGCTGGACTGACCTATCAGGCTTACGAGGGAGTGCAGCTTTCTTACAATGGTGTTGGTAACCGGCCAGGCATGCTCGAGTCATACTTTGGTGGAAGTTGGGAGGAAGACAAATTCTCTAGTTGCTATGGTACTCTCGACAATGGATTAGAAAAGGCTGAGGACGCACAACAATGTGAGGAACAGTGTGAGAGCTATTACAGTCATGATGAAGACGACACTGAAATGCAGCCTACTTATGACTGCATTTCATGGTATGGCTATGGAGGTGATGAAGATTGTCACGACTACGGTGAAGAGGAACCAATTTCTGCATATAGCTACAACTCTGATGAGATGAGACTCTGTGAAAGTATCTTTGGGCCCTGGCCTTGTTTGTCAAGACAGGACCTGGGAAGCTGTGTTGAACAATGACTGGTTTGGTTACTTTTCTTGCTTGTGTAGTAGTAATTTTGGCATTTGCTTGGTGAAATGTGTGATGTTATGATAAATTACAGCAAATAAACTTGGTGCAGGCCACCATCTGGGGTAAATCATCCCCTTGTCAACTACTTGTACCAATTTATTTTGCAGCTGATTTTAGTACTCTATATCTTATTGATTCTGTTACTAATGAAATAAAGTCCATTCACAAAGTAAAATAGACGACATTGATTAGAAAAATTAACTGTAAAGAGAGGAAAAATATAGACTGCAAGTTTCATCCCCATTGGTCACTTCAATTTGTAACTGTCCATCTGGAATTCAAATGATTAGGGTGTGAATCCGTTGCTGGTTCATTTATTTCGCATGTTCTGGTCTATTTTTTCCGATGCCAAATTACAATCTTTTACTGTGAAAGATCCACTCATTGGTATGAACCACAAACAAATACAATCTAAGAAGCAACAATGAATCTCTCACCCACTTATGCTACACCAAAATTTGGGCACAGAAATTGTAGCTTAAACTCCTTCTCTTACACAGATGAATCCATACAGACTATACAAGTGGTTTTGGTTGTAAAATTGTAATGTAACATAGTGCTAATATGCTATACATCAAATTACACCGCCAAGAGGTCCGATACCGAATTCATCCTCAATGTCATCGCCATCTTCAAAGAGTTTCAGGAACCGGGCATGATCCTGCTCCCTCCTCCTCTTCTGCCAATACTTGTACGCTGCCAATAGTCCAAGAATGAAGATAGTTGAAACCAGAGCACTGATTGTTATTATTAGGGCCCAATGCATTCCCTTCCCTCCTTTATGCGAGCCAGAGGAATTTTTGGAATCTACTAACACATGGTGGACACAACATAACACAATTAATTAATTACATTAACAAGTATTTGCATTGAAAAACAAGCGTGCACACACATATATAGACATATAGCAAGTTCCAGGAATGGCTACACAACACGTATTTGAATGAAATGAAGAAATTATTATGCGTATGGCATATTCGAATTTCAGTTTTTGGATTGAAGGATTTCAAATGAAGGGATTTAGTTTCAATTAGCTGAGAAATATAGTTTAAATTTAGGTTTAGAAATTTATTTCTTAAGTTTTAACAACATGCGTGAATTTATTTGAGAGGATTACATTTAGGGTGTGTTTGGTTGCATGGAACTGGAACTTTGGAATTGGAATTTGTGGAATTTGAGAAAAGCAACTAAGAAAATTGAACCAAAATTTTTTCAACTTCCAATTCCAAGGCTCCAATTCCATGCAGCCGAATGCACCCTTATGGATTTCAAGTAGCTAGGTACAAGGAGTAATTTGAAATCCACGCACACGGGGATACTAGTGTTTTTCACAGAGATTGTAATAAAAAAATGTCTCTAATACCTCTGAATACAACTTCATTAGCCAATCTTTTATTTAAGCTCTAATCCTTTAATTTCAAATCCACAATTTATCTAAATGAACCAAAGAAGAATTTCATGGCCTGAGAGCATGACCATGACAATGGCTTAATAGGGTTAAAGGTAGTGTACACGTTTACACATCTCATGGAAATCAAAATGGTCTCCAAGTGTACTTAGCAGCACTCAAATGTAGTAGTCCTCGATCCTGAATGAAGACACAGGAAAGGTCAGCCATACGACTATATGGCACAAACTTCGAACACAGCCAATTCGGGAGAGAGCGTAAAAGTTTATGTGAACCTTTGCGGTAAACTCACCCGTTTTCTTTAGTGGTACCACTCCAAATGACAAAATTTCACTAAAATGATACATAAACACAAAAAATGATCATTAAAGAAATGCACAGTGCACTTGGATTGGTTCAAGAGAGGCCTGATTCACCAGGCAATCAGTGGACCAATTCTCAAGTGGACGACCACTTCGCGAATTCTGTCATAAACCGGATTGCCTAAAATTATACCCACTCAAGTTGTGGATGTCCAACCGACCAGGTTCTTCATTACTTCCAAAAATAGCCTCAGACCCCTAGCCATCATATAATAGTATGCCCAACCACTTCATTTCATCCAATCAATTTTCTACAAATTTGCCTATTCAAATATGACAATTGGCAACATTTAATGACCAGTTGATACAATAATTCATTTATTTTTCTCAACTTCTGAAAACACAATACATCTTCGATGAAATAGAACTGATAGATAAAGAAAAAGAAAAGGTGTGAGGTCAAAATGGAAAGCATCCCTTTATTAAAATGTTAAATTATCCCTATACTAACCCATTAATCTGAAAGTCACATATATACATCCTGGAACAACTACATAAAATCTGGAAAGAGGAACTACGGTCTATTAAAAAGACAACACTCACCGCTTCCAAGATGTACGCAATCTGGACAGGAAAATGTAGCCTTGAATTCGTTGTCCTTGGAATGGGTAGCTTTTCCATCAGAGTCTGTAAAATCAGAAGGGCAAAACTCCCACTCATCAAATACATCGTCCGATTTTAAGATGTCCTGCTCATAGAATCCACATCGTTTGCATTTTATATTTGGAAATTCCGTCAGAGGCTGAAAACACAGTTTCAATGTCAGCCTTTCGATAGAAACTTTATGTAGTTGAGGTAAGAGATCATCCAATTGCCTACGATGATCCAATGATAAAAATAATATACATAAATTACACAGTAAGCAATTGAGAGTAGACTTCGGCAAAAGTTTCACATATCGTCACATTCACATTTGTCTTTTCAAGATTAAAAGTGAATATATATGAAATATGCAAAATTTAGAATGCAGTTATATGCCGGTTATTTCATATTTTTTACTTTAGAATTAGAAAAGTGCATGATACACACTTGCAGCTTCAAAGAGAGCCAAGGGGGGAGGGGGGAGGAGGGAGAAGGGAGGTTGGAGAGGGGCGGAGAGTGACAAGCTCCCTCTACTTAGCAACAAGGCTTACAGATGGTTTACAAAAAGTAAATAATCAACACAAATCTAGGAGTAATAGTAGTAAAAATCATCATGTGCTGAAAGTAGGTAGGAATCACGTTGTATCTTGTTTACCAGACGGTTATCCTATTTTCTATGACAAAAGCAATGCAGTTAAAATCTCCCAAGTTCCTAAACAATTATCTGCAGGAGCCTTCTGGAACTTTGTAGTTATATCTTTGTTGGTAACCATTTTACATTGAGAGAAACCCTTAAAAAAAAGAATTATTTACTTTGTCAGAAAGAAAGAATCATTTCTTTTGTCTGAAGGAAAGAATCATTCATTATCTTGACTCCATTTATGATGAACCAAAAAGACTGCCTAAACTATGAGAAGCATTGTCAAGTAAAAGCTTTCCAATAATTATATAGTCAGACAACAACGATTGAAAGAACTTGCATCAGAGTTGCAAAGAAATTCACTCATCACAAACCTGCCAAGATTCTTCACCCTTGAAACTATACTTGACATGTGTTTTCTTCACATCTGGCAGAACAGTCTTGTTTCCTTCTTTACAAAAGAAGTAAACCGTCGGTTCGGCTCTTATCCACTCGTGGGTTTTGAAAATTTCAATGGAATCAAGTGTAACAATTGCAGATGATATAAATCCTGCAAAAGAAAATAGAAGAGTGTACCAGACTTCTGGTGAGAAAGCTGACAGCTTAATTACATGATAACAGCGCTTTTAAATCAAACCAGTGGAATTTATTTGTCCCAAATTATTTTGCACAAAGTCAATGTAAATAATAAGGTCGAATGTTCAACATATTATCCCCCAACAAAATCTCCTTTTTTCAATAACCGAGGGAAATTCGGTCAGAGAACTCCATTTCTTTTAAATTTAATTTAATGACAATATTCAACAAGGCAAATGAAAATTTGGGCTCCTTAGTCATTGCAGCTTTTACACACATCATCATAAACTATTCATAGCAAGTTACTAAACCACCGCAATAACATCGGCCAAAACAGAAATAGCTACTATGACTGGTGTCCGAAAAGCTCCTCAGTAACCCCACATGAAATATTACCTACTCCCATAGGCTTTGTAGCATTCTCAAAAGCATGAGAAAAAGGAAAGATATATTCACAAAATTTGGCTTCCTTTATACTAAATTTCTAGCACACAATCTCCAACCTCTATTTTTTTTTATTTTTTATTTTTTTGTGTGTGTATATTTTCTTCTTTTTATGCACAAAGAAACAGATAAGAGTAAAGCCAAGATCCTGAGCTTACATGATCCTTTCCCAGTTCCAACATAAAAAATAAGAGAAAATGACTCAGCCTACTGACTTCACAGCAATAAAATTCACTTGAGTACACAATTTCATGTTGATACTAACAATCGAAAATTCAAATCCTATAGTATACATACATACATACATATATACATACATGCATATACACACACACACATATATATATTCTTGAAATTTAAGTAATTTATTTATATTCTAAGACAATAACAGAATTGATAAAAAAAAGAAAAAAAGAAAAAAAGAAAAGAAAAGAAGAAGCTCTAGCAGCCAGTTAAAACCCTAAACCAACCAGTTGCAGAACATCAAACTTAAATTATATTTAAATATATTTTAAATATAATTTATCATTTCTCATAAACTTGTCAATTAAATCAAACTTTGCAGATAAGAGAAAAGCCAAGATCCTGAGCTTACATGATCCTTTCCCAGTTCCAACATAAAAAATAACAGAGAAAATGAGACAGCCTATTTCACAGCAAGAAAATTCACTTTAGAGTTCACAATTTCATGTACACATACATACATACTTATATACATACATGCATATATACATATCTTGAAATTCAAGTAATTTATTTATATTCTAAGACAAATAACGGAATTGATCCCAAAAAAAAATCTCAAGCGGCCAGTTAAAACCCTAAACCAATCAATTGCAGAACATCAGATACTACCATCTAAAACAAAATTATATTTTAATATAATTTATAATTTCTCAAAAACTTGTCAATTAAATCAGATTTTGGATTCTTGATCCTTAAATTAGTGATCAAATAAAAGAAACCCTAATTTTTCAAAAAAAAAATACCTGGAAACCAGCTCAGAAGAATCAAACAGGAGAAAAGTACAAGCCAAACCCTAGACTCCACACGACACAGCATCGACATAGAGTGATCCTGAAGATCAATAGATTGATCAATCGATTGGATTGATTCTTTCAGCGATTGAACAAGAAAGTCGCGTCCAATAAGAGAAATACGCCGGAGTGCACGCTACGCACAGGCGACTGTGTTTGTGCTATGGCGGTTCTCGGAAAGCTCTGACTCTGAAAGAGGGAGAAACAGTTGATCGGTTCGCGGCTTCGCGCGCTACTTAACGGTGCCGCTGTCTATGGTACGCAAGGTGCGTAGTTCGCATATGGTGTCCATGGCAAGTTCCTATTGGTTGAGTAATTGACTTCTGACTTTTTAATATATTTATAAATGGAGAAATTCAGTGGAATTGTTTGTTCCTATGTTTTTCTTCAAATACCAATTCGTTTAGTTTGTTAATATAGGATCACAGTAAAAGAATAAAGTAGAATATGTATTAAAATCGGGGACGTTTATATCTTTTTAATTTTTGAAGATATTAAAAATGAATCGGGTCATATATGGAATGATCCATTGGGCCCAAAGAGAAAAAAGTCATAAGTCTATATGCAGGACGATCCAACAGGCCCAATAGTCATGAAGACCGCCTCAAAGCCCAACCTTCGCAGGGGAGGTGGAGAAAATCCTCCTTTAATGAGTGCCCAAGTATAAGACTCACAGGAGATCAGCCCGGTAGGGAGGGTTCTAAAAAAGAAGATTCTAGAATGATTGTACTCCTATAAATAGTAGTGAAAGAGAAGATAAGGGGGTCGAATTGTATGAAGTATAGGAAATTACTTTCTGAAAATAGAGAGCACATCTCTGCTGCTTCAGTTATCGTCATTTATGACGGTCACGAATTAAAATTGACGATGAGTAGTGGTGCTCTGTGCTACAAGTACGGGGAAAAAAAATCCTCTTTAATTACTCTCTCAACTAACACCACTTCTCCAACATAATTTTATTATCATTAAATTAGCGCTAAATCAACAATTTAACAATTTAAAATAAAAATAAAACACAAAATAATTTCACTTTAAAACAATTTAACAAAAATTAAAATATGTATACAAAACACGTTACTGAAACAAAATTACGAAAAAGGAACGAATCATATAATTATAGATTATTAGGGTTAATCAAATCACTCGATTCTCAAAATTTCGTAGGATTCCATCGAATTGAACAACTGTAATTCTTAATTCTAAAGAGAAAGATTAAACCAAAAAAAAAAAGTTCCCCCCCCACCACCCCGCCCTTTTTTTTCACCTCCCTTCTTATATATATATATATATATGCACATATATGTGCCAAGGAAATCAAGCTAGGCAATCATGTTACTAAAGTTTGCCAGAAACGCTGATGCAATCAAAATTAGCAAATATAATATATATATATATATATATATATATATATATATATGTATGTATGTATATATATCTATATCATATTCCTGTAATTCTTTATTAACTGGAAGTCATGAAATGAAAGTCAATTCATTAAATAATAGATATGCTATATGTATATATTAGTAATTTAGTAAATATGAATTTAACTCAACCACCAAGTTAATTTTTTTACCTTCCAGTGGACCAATCCAACGAGAGATTTGAACACTTTTATTTTGTTCCCGTGTCCTATAATTTGATAGATATGTGAATTCAACCTTTAGACACATACCTGTATCAGAGCCCAAGTAATATACATTATATATATATATTTGTGCGTCATATATGTTATTATTTTCTTAAATAATAATAATAATAATAATAATAATAATAAATCATTAATTTTCTTTGCTAGTTTTTATTACAGTATTTATAATGCTTAATACATAATTATATTAAGAACAATACTTGCGCCCTTCGGGAGAGGATAAGGTTCGCTGACGTGGGCCAATGACATGATGACAGGTGTCTAAAATAAAAATAATAATAAAATATGGGCAATGCCCATTTTATCCGGTTTAAACCTGTTTCTTACTTTCTTTTCTATGTTTCTTTTAATACCTAATCTATCTGTCGCCGCAACAAACCCATTTCCATCTTCTCTAGCAAGACCAATTCTCTCTCATCTCTTTCTCTTTCTCTTTCTCATTCTCTCTCTAATACTGTATTTTTCTCACCGGAAAGAAGCAAAAAGTGGGTCAGCCGAGGTGCTCCTTCATCATCGTGAATCCATCATCGCCGCCGCTGATTCAATCACCAGCAATTGCACCTTCGGCAGTCGCCGGCAGCTTGCCATCAACTGTGCATCCTTGCACCATCGCTGGCTCGACGGCACTGTTCCGTTCCGTCCTTCTTCAGTTCTTAGTTCCAAGCTCACTATCGGTTCTTGCTTCTCCCGCGCGGACCGTTCATGAAACGTCTCTGCAGATCTCTGCTCAGTCCTTCTCCGGTGACCTGTCCTTCTCTTTGTCGGATCTCGTCTCAATCCCACAGCGGATTCCCATCTATCACGACCCATGAGAGATTGATAGATTAAGGTTTAAATTGGTCGATTTGTAAGGTTCAATTTTGGTCTTAATGAGAATTGGAGAGGAAATTACAGTTTTAAATAAAATTAAACACCTTATTATTATAAGGTATTAATAATAAAAAAATTAAATGAATAATTTCACAAAAATCGTGAAGTCCTTTTATTAGAGGGAAAAAAAAAAAAAAAATTATTTTCATACAAAATTTTTGACAAAAAAACTTTCATTTTTTTTTTTTCTAGCCCTTTTCTCCATGTTCATATCTGGTGAAAAAGTTTCTTTTCAAACAGTGCAAGTTTTGTTATTGCATACTCGGGTAAATTTCTCGCAGATGTTAATATCTCACTCAACATACTCCTTTCTCGATGCATGACTATGAATAACTTTACGTGTAATCAATTTGTTTCTCCAATTGTTGAGGTTTTTTTTATTTTTCCATAACAAATATTAAAAATAAAAGAAGATAAAAAAAATTTGAGAGTTATCATCACAACTGATGGTATAAAATAATTCTTAGAAAGACTCCATTACTCTCACTCTTCTATATCCAAATGATGTTAGTAGAATTATTTGTTTAATTTTTTATTATTATTAATACTTCCTTATTATAAGATATTTAATTTTATTTAAAACACTCAAATTGAGTGATTTTGGAGTCATAAAAAACCAGAAATAACTAATATAGTTGTTTTCAATTTCAATCATTGGATGAAATCCAACCATTGAAATTGAAGTCGCGTATATTACTCTCTGCACACCAGGGAGCAACTGAACAAGACTATATATATATATATATATATATATATATATATATATATATATATATATATATTGACTAGGCAATGGTTAATGGGGTTAACGAGTCAGAGGTTAAAGGGGAGGAGGAATGATACTGGTGGGTTTTGAACACGGCTAAGGGCCCCAAATAATACACGCCCTACCACTGGATTAGCACCGCACCTGTCATAAATATTACATTGATATTTAGTGTTTGTAAGGATAATATATATCTATATAGAAGAATTTTCAAAGTTAAATGGTGGGACCAATTCTCCATCAAGGATGGTACTCCAGAAGCAATTTCCGAATGGTTCTCAAAGCATCCTTAATTTCATGTTCTGGCTTAGGAGAGTCTTCAGCTTTCCTTCTGTCCAAAAGCCAGACCCAAGTAAGGCTTTCTTCAGCAAAATCCCAAGATGAATATGAAGCCTTCCTCATGGAAGCTTTAGCCCAAGTCAATCCCATAACCTTCTTAAGAATGGGCTCCAACAAAAGTGAACGCTCAAGTTCATTCCATAGCTCCCAAACAGATCTGGCCCAACCCAATGAAGATGATTGTTTTGGTATTTTCACCCAACTGCTCCAGTAACCGAATTTTCAAAAACATCATCATTCCCTTTCAAAAAAAGTTTCTGACTTCGGTTACTCAACGCCGCTGCATAGCGACCAAAAAAAAAAAAAAAAGAGGCAAAATCTATAGTTAAAAAATTTTATTCAACAGTTCTCCATTTTAAACTTCTAGCACCTTTTGGTGCTTATGACAGACAAGCGTTTCAAAAAAAGAATCCAAGACAAGTCAGTGGCCATCACCTCAATTCAGCCTTTCAGGCTTTGCACATGGCCTCCAGCATCATTCAGCAGACATCACCTCAATTCAGCCTTTCAGCCTTTGCACATGGCCTCCAGCTGCATCCTTATCCCCAAGAAATCCAAGGCTCCTTCGAGGCCCTATAAATAGCAGCTCCTCAAGACATTGAAGGCAAGCTAGAACCAAGTTCAGTTCTTAGTTTCATTTCAAAAGTTCTCAGTTCAAATTGTAATTTTTAAGTTTAAGCTTTTTAGTTTTACTTCATCCAAGGAGCTCAGCTCAGAACAAAGTGTTGTATTCAAATATCAAAGTTGTAAGTTCCATGTTTCAATTAAAGTTCTTCAAAGTTATTCATGTTCTGTTGTTTATTTATTATTGACTTGCATATTTCCATATTTCGTTGATTATTTAACCTTTTCAATATTCAGTTGTAAGTTCCATGTTTCAATCAAAGTTCTTCAAAGTTATTTATGTTCTTTTGTTTATTTATTATTGACTTGCATATTTCCATATTTTGTTGATTATTTAACCTTTTCAATAATATATATATATATAGGGTTAAGTACCAAAAAAACCTGTCATCATATAAAAAAAGTGCAAAAACCACCCATATTAGAAAAAAAAGTGCATATAACTCTCTGTATTATTCAACTTTTGAGTAAATTGCCCTATATTGAATAGATCTATTTGAAAATTAGCCATTAGTGATGTAATTTTTTTCTGAAAATTCAAAAGTACTATTTTTGTGTAACAAGAATGCCACTGCTAATTTTGTATATATTTGAACACTAAATGGACTTATTTAGATGTACCTCGTGACCTATCCAAGGAAATCTTTCTCTCTAATATTTTTTTTTGCTCTCTCAAATATCTTTATGTTGCCGTTTAGGAATATGTTACCAAGAAGATATCAATTTTATTTATTTTTAGTTTTTATGATACTATATTTCATTTGGTTTGTGAAGTGAGATTCTGGGCATCTGTACTCATTTTAAATTTTTTTTAAATATTATATATTTCAATAAATATGTATAGAAACATAATCTTTCCTTCAAATATTCTTTTCTAATTCTATTACTTCTATATATTTTCCTTCAATTCCTAAAACTCTCACTCTATAAGAAAATATAATATCTCTCTAAAATTTATCTCTGTCGTTGATAGTATCTCTCTATAATTATTTTTTTCTCTCTCTAAAATAGAACACCGGAATCAGCAAACCTGAAGAAATTTCATAATATCAATAGATAGCACAATCCAGGAAGACGTTGCTTCAACCGTTCCAAAAAATTAGCAATCCAATTCCAACCTCTTCAAGAAGATCAAGAAAAAAATTAAGAACC